TGTATTCTTAATATGATGTAATAAAAATGGTACATTACCTCTGTGATCTTCCTCTCAAAAAACCCATAGCCCTAATCTAATCATGAGAAACACGTCAGACAAATCCCATTTGAGGGGCAACCTACAATATGACCAGCAATTCTCAAAATGTCAAGGTAATCAAAAACAAGGCCAGTCTGAGAAACTGTCACAGCCCAGAAGAATCATGTGACTGCATGTAATGTGTTATTACGGACAGGATCCTGAAACAGAAAAACTACACTAGGTAAAAAAGTAACAAAATCTGAATAAAGTATGGACTTTAGTGAATAATTATGTGTCAATATTCGTTCATGCGTTGTATCAAATGTACCACAGTAACGTAAGATGTTCATAACAGAGGAAGCTGTGTAGGGGATGAGCAACTCTGGATGGATTGCTCTTACGTATATAACGTAGCCAGGTTCAACCTTCAACGATGGTTAATGATTCTCCTCCGCAAAGCAGGGGAGATGAGCTAGTGAAATGGTGTCTGGAACACAATGCCTGGACCTAAACACCTGCTCCCCGTTCCCCCGGCTCACTACAGCAGTTGCTTGCTTATTGCTTGTTTATCCACACCTGGACCAGGGAATTGTGTTGGCAAAGAGCATCCCTTCAGATCTGACCTGAAATTCCCTCGGCCTTGGCTAGTGAGAAATTGTCCTTAGCTTTCATGGTTCAGGAGAGCTCACTAGAGAAGGTGATAGAACTTGAAAGACATTTTTTTTTTTCCAGGTTGTTTTAATGACCTCCAGCTCAAAATTGATGCCACATTAGACCCATTTGTGCTAATCAGTTAGTTCAGGGCCACATGAAAAAGAAAAAATGAGGTAGAATTTTTTAATATATTGAAGGGCAAGGACAAGCTCTTAGTAAACTGACGTTTTCTACAAAGTCATGTTTTGGATGTCATGGTTTAACCTATGATATGTCCAGATTTTTTTTTAAGTGACCTCTTGAACATGGAGTCTAATTTTTCTCTCTTTGAATATGAACTATACTTAGTGACTGGCTTCTAAAAAGCAGAATGTGGAAAACGTGAAAGTGTATGGTTTCTAAGATTAGGACAGAGTGGCCTACTCCTTGCTCTCTCTAGAACTATTCTCCCTGGGTGAAGCCTGCCATGCTGTGAGGATGCTCAAGTAGCCTTATGGAGAGGCCCAAGTGACAAGGAACTGAGTGAGGCCTACTACAGACACCCAGTAAAAAACAGGGCCTTCACCCTGGCCAGTTTGGCTCAGCGATTAAGCATTGGCCCGCAGACCAATGAGTCACGGGTTTGAGTCTGGTAAGGGGCACATACCCTCATTGAGGTTCATCCTGGCCCTGGTTGAGGTCATGTGGAGGCAGCCAATTGATGTGTCTCTCTCACATCGATGTTTCTCTCTCTCCCCCTCTCCCTCCCTCCCTCCCACTTTATCTGAAGATAAATAGAAAAATATCCTTGGGTGAGGATTTTTTTTAAAAATCAGCCCTGGCCAGTTTGGCTTAGCGGTTAGAGCATCAGTCCGTGGATCAGAGAGTCCCAGGTTTGGTTCCCGCTAAGGGCATGTGCCTTGGTTGCAGTTTGTCCCCGGCCCCGGTTGGGGTTGTGTAGGTGGCAACCACTCGATGTGTCTCTCTCACATCGATGTTTCTCTCTCTCTTCCTCCCTCACTCCCTCCCGTTCTATCTGAAGATAAATGCAAAAATGTCCTCGGGTGAGGATTAAAAAAAAAAATCAGCTCATCTAAATGTCAGTAGTACTAGTCATAAAAAAAAAAAAAAAAAAAAACAGGGCCTTCTGTCAATAGTCATGTGAATGATCTACCTTGAAAGTGCACCAACCAGCCCCAGTCAAGCCTTCGGATGACTGCAGCCCTGGCTGACACCTTGACTGCAACCTCAGGAGAGTCCTCAGCTGGCACCACCCAATGAGCTGCTCCCAAACTCCTGACCCACCAACAGGTTTCATAATGAGATAATGTTTGCTTTTTTAATCTGCTAAATGTCGGGGTCATTTGTTATGTAACAATGGACAACAAATACAGAGACCCTTTTCCAAGTCCGAGAACATTATAGCTGGGACTCTCTTGGGCATGAAGTAGCATATATAGAACAAGTGCACAGTATAAGTGTGCAACTCAGGAATGTTTACTTATGTATACACACATGTAACCACTACCCAGTCTAGATGGAACACTTTTATTACTCTAAGAAATTCCCTCATGCCCATAGCTACTCAACAGCTCTTCCCAGAGCTTGCTACTTTTCTGAGTTCTAGAACTAGAGGGTTTACATGTTCTTGAACTTCATATAAATGGAATCATTCAGTATGTACGCTCTTATGTCTGCCTTTTTTCACTCAGCATACTAAATTTTAAGTTTGTGTTGTTACATTTTCAATAGTGCATTCCTTTTATCGCTGAGAAGTATTCTATTGTACAATTATGCCAAGTGTATTTCCCTGTTGACAGACATTGGAATGATTTTCACTTTGAGGCCATTGTAAATAAAACTAATATGAGCATTCTCAGAGCAGTCCCTTCTGTGGACCTGTACATTCAATATTTGGGTAAATTCTTAGGAGTGGAATTGATGAGGTGGGTGTATGTTTGACTGTCAAACCATTTCCCAAAGCAGTTGGGTCATTTTACATTCCCACTCAGAGCAATTTTTTTGAAGCACCCTAGCTTGAAAAGAAAGAAAACCAGCAGTCAGTCTTAATGAAAAATGAGTGGCAACGAATGAAGAGCTTTCTAAATGGTGGAAGAGGCGCGAAAACCGGACAAGGCAGAGCTGTCTGAGAGCAGCACCTCCTGGCAAATGCTTCTATTTTGATCATTGGTTTGGAAATAATTTTAGCCACTTAGGTCAAAGGTTTTCCCAAAGATGAGCAGGGACCCAAATCCTGAGAGGAGAGTTTACATAAAGAACCCTTCTGCTGAATGGGAAAGATCCTTCTTCCCAGTGCCCTTGTTTACTGGGCCAGTTCAGCGCTCGGCCAAACAGAACGACGTCTTGCCGCCTTCACACAGTGCCCCCAGGCACCGGGTCAGCTCTCTGTTTCCCGTGAGTTCTGTTTCTAATAAAAGTCGGGAGAACTTGACCGTGATGCAGCCTGGGGCGGAGGCTGTGATAAGCATCAGGCTCGGAGCACAGGCCCACAGCCCGCCTCCAGCCTGCTCCCGACAGGACAGGCGAGGTATCTCCAAGCCCTTTCTGTTCCTGAAACCGCCTGGATACCCACAGTGTTATTGTCGTTGGTTGTCCGGGGCTCAATAAGAGAAAATAAAAACTACAAAGCAAGAATTTAACTCCAATCTCAGCAACTTCGGAAGATGCTCAGCACATATTCTTTTCTATTAGGGAAGGTAAACATTGCTGCGAGCTGTATATGCAAACATGGAAAACGGGTCAATAAAAGCCCCCACCCTCCTGCCTTCCAGGGGAACTGTGTTGGGGAGCAGAGGAAGGGCACGGTGGGGCCCCAGAGAACCCCTGCGGCAGCCGCGTGCTGAGGGAAGGGCTGGTCCCAGACGCAGCCGGCAAGGGCCCTGGATCCAGAGGACCCCGCACCACCAGGAGGCAGTTATTTCCAGACGGCTCAGGGAAGGACTGGGGCTCGGTCCTGGACAAACGAAGTCATTTCCTTTTGACGTTTATTATTTAAGTGGCCTAGATGCCAGGGAGAGGAATAAGAAATTCCTCGTTCTTTTTTCTGAGTACCTGCCACTTGCCAGGCGCCACGCGGAGCACGTGAGCATTCATTGCTTTACTCCCCATGACAGCGCCGCGAAGTGGGTCCCGCTACCCCGTGTCAAAGATGCGCTGTGCCACAATGAAGCTAATAACGTGTGCAGTTCCCCCAATTAAAATGAGAACAAGCCAGGATTTACACCCGAGTCTTCCCACTCCTCCCTACTTCACTAACAGCAAATAAAAGTTAAAAGTTTTTTTTAATAAACTATAGTTTAATGTTTTTATTGATTTTTTAGAGATAGAGAAACATCAGTGTGAAAGGGAGGCATCGATTAGCTGCTTCCTGCACGCCCATCACTGCAGGCCGAGCCCACAACCCAGGCACTTGCCCTGACCGGGAATCGAACCAGGACTTCTCAGTTCATGGGACGATACTCAATCCACTGAGCCACACCACCCGAGCTAAAGGTTAAAAGTTTTTAAATGGGCAGCTGTTACCCTTAGCCCTGGGCAAGAGCACCACGCTCAGAGTAGAAGTTGTACTTGAAAAGGAAAATATACTTTTTTCTTAGGTCCTACTCTTAGTGACCTACCGGCTCTCTACTGCCCGGTGCCAGCTTGCACCTTGCTGAGAACGGTGTAGTGAGAAGCCTCATCCTGTGAGCCCCTTGCCTCCCAGAGCCTCGATGGTCCGTGGTGACTAGACTTGAGCTTCAAATGGCAGTGAGCTTTCTGCTTCCCCCTCCAGACCAGGAGGACGGCTTCCCTGCTATCTAACTCACTTTTCTAGTGTCAAGGAAATGCCACATTGCCTTCTTTATTCACCGTCTTATTTAGCAAAGTTCTCCAGCACTAGAGTCATGGTGTTTTTCTAAGGCACCCAAACAAGAATGTATGACTTCATTACCGTCTGTTGAGAGGCTTGGGGTCTTCTCGAGAATAGTAGGTTGGAGCACACTCAGCTGGTCTGCCCTTATTACACGGTGAAGGTCACTTCTCTGCCAGGAACTGTCATCGGTGAGCCCTTGCTTCTTTTCCATAAACGTGTCTCTTCCAGAGCCTTTTGCAATTATGGCTCATTTCTCTAGGTTTGCTATGGCAGGCGTCTGAACAGAATTAAAAGCATAAGCACGTGCAAAAATAATCCGCTTCCCAAGATAGTAAGTGCTGAGAAGTTCTATATTAGAACACACTGGGAGTGCTGACTGGCTAGGGCATGATTAACCTAATAGGCTTATAGTTCCGCTTGCCATCCACATCTGTCAGGACATGAGCAAAACACAGGCCTGTAATCCATGAGCCCGAGGTCCCTCGCAACCGCCCTGCTGCTCGCGGGCCGGGGAGGGTCCAGAGGCCCAACCGCACAGGCCAGCAGGCGCCAGCACCTCCGCAGGGGGCCGGGGACGTGAGAGAGCGCATTCCGAGTGGAGGACACGGTCCCATGGATTTCAAAGGATTCTGGCCTGGAATTGCCTGGATGGACTAGTAAGACTGCCTTTTGCTATTTCAAATATAATCCTCTGGAAATGATGAGGGTTTGAGGGTGGGAGATGATGATAAGCTGAAGTCATGGGGTGCACACCTTCCCACAGTGACATTGTGAACACCGTGGCTAAGAGTGGCATCCAGTTTTTTAAAAAGCCCAAATCAATTCTGCCAGGAAGTTGGGGTGGCAGTGAGAGATGCTCCACCCCTTTGCTGGTCCGAAGCTCCACCTGCTATGACTCTGGGGGGGACTTGTCCCAGGGACAGAGGCTCACAGAGGCTCAGCCAGGTCCCAGATGGACCCCAACCATGGCTGAAGGTCATTGTGAGCTTGCAAGAGATTCCACAACAGGCGAAAAGAAAGATCTGGAAGGGCTGGTCCCAGAAACCAAAACTTCCCCATCCCAGCTGAACAAATTACAAAGCTACCTGGCTAAGGACATTCCATTCAAGACACAGAGCTCCCAGGAGTTTCAAGGGGCAGCCTTGTCTGGGGAAGACAGTGCAGAAAGCAACACCCGGGAGACCTCCATGTGGGAAAAGAAGCCAAAATACCACAGCTCAGGGCAACAGGATCTTAGCTGCCAAACCACCCTTCCTGCTTGGGGGTCTGCAGGCAAAGTAGACTTTCCCGAGCCCCTCGTGCAGGCCCACCAGCACGCTTACACCTACCTGCACTCCTGCCTCTCCAAATACGAGGCAATTCTGAGCCTCGCCCATCAGGTCTCCCAGACCCAGGAGCTGCTGCAGCCCATGGTCAGCTTCCTGCTGCTGTGCTTTGATGAGGTCAACCAGCTCTTGGGGGAGATCTCCAAGGATGGAGAAGTGCTCCTCCGGGAAGTCAAGGAGGATCTGGCTTGGCCGTTGAGGAAAGGGGAGCCCCCGGAGCAGCCAGATCTCCTGCAGCAGCTTCTGCAGTACACGGTCAGCAGGCTGCAGGGGCTCAGTGGCACGGTGGCGTCGCTCACCAGTAGTTTCCTGGAGAGCTCCAGCAGCTACCTCCAAGCCACTGCAGGCCACTTGGGAAATAAGCTGAGCACGAAGAGGAGTGTGGATGAGCACCTCCTAAGGGCTCTGGGGCAGCTAGAGAGCTTGGCGAGTGGCCACAGTGACCCTGGGGCACAGGGTCTACCCTTGTGCTCTGAGGACAGTGGCATTGGTGCGGACAATGAGTCTGTGCACCTGGCGGACAAGCTGGGCAAGCAAGCCAGCTTGGACTTAATGGCGGAGCCTGCACAATGGAAGCCAGGGACTTCACCCACAGGGGAGGCCAGACTGTTGGGACATGCCTGGCAGCAAAGCCCATTCTGGATGTGTTCAGACAGATTCCAGGACTGCCCACTCTCAAAGCCTCCTATGGCAAAGGTTCATCCAGCAGCACAGGGTGGAGCAGGGAGCCTGGGTCCCTCCAGCTCAGGCCCAGAAGATGCTACCTCCAGGCCGCTGGGGCTGGGCAAAGGCAGTCCAAGTGACTCCTCTGGGGCTGGGATCTCCACAGAAGCACATCTTTCTAAAGGCTCTGGGTTGGTGCGTACCCCATCCCTCAGTGAAGTGGGAGGCAGCAGCACAGAGGAAGAAGACAATTTCCATCTGAGGCCTCGGTCTTCACCTGCTGGCCCGGAAAGCCCATTTCAGCCACACCCCAGGGGGCTTAGGAGCCTCCAAGCACAGGAAATGATTCTGAAGATGAAGGAAGCCATCAGTGAACGGATCAAGTTTGTCCCTGTGTTCTCTGGGCACGAGGATTGGGCTGAGGAGGAGGAGAGGACGGTGGTCCCACCAAGACCTAGCCTGGTCAGTGGCAGTGAGCGGGCCCCCGAGAGGCAGAGGAGGTCCCAGTCAGAGGCATGTCTTAAGAAGCAGGGGGAGGAGCCCTCCCTCCAGGAGCTGCGGAGGGTCCAGAGAGACCTGGGCCAGCGGCTGGAGGTGTTCTACGCCCTGCGTGCCCGGCGCGCCCAGCGGCAGGGGCGGAGCAGGGAGCAGGCCCTGCAGCCCAGAGCAGCGCCTCTGAAGCCCGGCAGCCACAGCAGCGTAGCCCCAAGCAGCACTGTCAGCAAGCTGAAGGCATCTCTGAGCAAGAATTTCAGCATTTTGCCAAGTCAGGACAGGAGCATTTTGCAGAAATGCAGTCCCCACCCTCAGGGTGAACAGCCCTGGCAGGGGAAAGCTGAGGGGCTTCCGGGTGCCGGCCCATCAGGGGACAGAGCCGGTGAGGCTCCCAGGGCCAAGGACTGGGACGTCAGGGGCCATCCCACCAGAACGTCAGTCAAAAAACTCATTGAAACGTTCAGTCCCACTGAGAGTCTGCAGACACTGGGGGAGTCCACGGACTCTGGGCTGAGCCCCTGCCTCAAGAAGTGGGGGGTCCCCATCTTGCTTCCCAGATTTCCCATTTACAGGGGGCTTGCCCCGTTGTATCCAAAGCCCCGAATTTCTCCAGCAGCGGGCCCAGGCTGGAGGCCCTTAGCTCCTGTCTGTCTCCCTTTGTCAACAGCATCGGTGAGTGAGGACCTCCACTATGAAGCAGAGGAGGACCCAAAGCACCTCCCTCCCCCGCCTCTGGAAATCCTGATGGACAAATCATTCACGTCTCTGGAGCCCCCCGAAAGCAGCAAGCCGGCAGGGAGCTTTCCTGAAGGGACCCATGTGTCAGGGCTGGAAGAGGCTGGTCCTGCCCGGAGAACGTGGGTTTCCCCAAAGCTAAGAGCCTCCATGAGCCCCGCTGCCCTGCTGCCCCGCAGGAGCACGGCCACCCCCAGCAGGCCCTGCAGCACAGGGCCAGGGAGCAGCAAAGGCGGCTGCAGTCCTGGAAAGCTGGCCTTGGACCTCAGGGCCCCGCCAGCAGCCGGCGGAAGCCCAGAGATGGAGGACGGCGGGGCTCCGAGGCTGGCACGAGCGGACGGGGCTGCGAGCCCCTCCAAGCAGCCCCGGAAGGCAGCCCCCTGGCACCACTCCAGCCACGCAGCAGGGCAGAACAGGACCTCGGAACCCAGCCTGCCCAGACCAATTCGGGGGCCACATTCTTCTGAGGCTCCAAGGCAGAGCCAAGAGAGAAGCTGCCCACTGGCCGGGAAGGCCTCTCCTATGAGGGCACACTGGGCCCCCAGAACAGACAAGAGGCACCCAAGCCTGCCCTCCTCTCACCGACCAGCTCGCCCAAGTGTCCCCTCTGTGCATGGGTCCCCCAGCCCAACAATCAGCCCCCTGGCGAGCCCCAGGACACTAAGCCCCCCAACAGTGACGAAAGGAGCTTCCCCGCTACCCCAGCACAAGCTGCCCAGCCCTCCCCCTGAGAGCCCACTGGCTCAGCACAGGATCTCCAGCCCGCCTACCCCGTGCACAGAAGCAAGTCCCCCTCCCTCTGGTCCCTCCCCACCCCCGCCAGGGTCCCCCACTCAGGGGCACAAGGAAACAAGAGATTCTGAAGACAATCGGGCAGCCACGGCCACAGCATCTGGGAACACAGGTCCCATATTTTGTCCTGCCACCTCCTCTCTGTTTGAGGCTAAATCACCATTCTCAACAGCCCACCCACTCACTCCATCGCTGCCGCCTGAAGCGGGGGCACCTCGTGAGCCGCCCACAGGATGCTGGAGGAGCCGCTTAGGGCCACGCCTGAGGGGGGGCTCACAGCGGGGAACGACTCTGTGTGCCCTCAACCCTCAGCCCTTCGTCAGAAGAACAGCCTCTGAGCGCCAGCCGGGTGTCCGCCTCCGCCTGCCTGTCCCAGGTGCCACCAGCAAAGCTTGTGAACCCCAGCTTGGCCAGAGCAGGTAAGCGCGTCCTCGGGCCATGGCCCCTGGTTACAGGAACAGAGCCGACGGGTCCTTAGGATCTCACAGGTCAGTAGCTTTCAAACTGCGCTCCAAGGAAAGAGGAAATTAGAAGAAAGGGTCAGAAATGTCCAGCCACCCCCCACGAGTCCCCCGCAACTCTGAGCCACTGAGCTTTTACTTGCCACTCATTTCAAGTTCCTGAGATGTTCATTGAAAAGAGGTTCTGCTGTTATTAAAAATAAAGATGAGAACAGCCACGTTAGTCCAGCACACAGCCCTTAGTTAAGAGGGGGGGACCAGACCACATGACTTGCCCCCTGGTGGGGTCACTGTCACCCTGTCAGAACCAGCAGCCTGGTTTCTGTCGTTTCTGCTTTTCTGCAGTTAGCCCAGCATCAAGGTGCAAGGTTCTCCACCTTGTCGGTCCCAGAACCCCTTTAAACTCTTCAAAATTACTGAGCACCCAAAAGAGCCTGTGTGTGTGTGTGTGTGTGTGTGTGTGTGTGTGTGTGTGTAGCAGATTCATCACTTTTTTTTTTTTTTTTTAATCCTCACCTGAGGACACTTTCCATTTTTTGTACAGATAGAGTGGGAGGGAGAGAGAGGAAGAGAGAGAGAGAGAGAGAAACATCGATGTGAAAGGGACACATCGAGTGACTGCCACCCGCACGACCAACCAGGGCCGGGGACAAACTGCAACCGAGGTACGTGCCCTTAGCGGGAACCGAACCCGGGTCTCTCCGGACCACAGACCAACGCTCTAACCGCTGAGCCAAACTGGCCAGGGCTCCATCACTTTTTATTGTATTATAAATTACAATTAAGAGGCATTTGAAATATTTATTCATTACTTTTTAAAACAAACATGACCCCATTATACGTTAACACAAATAATATATTCTTGTGAAAGTTAACTATGTTTTCCACCACAAAACAATTTCGTGCGGAGTGGCACCGTCCCCCACTCTGACCAGTCTCCTTAGCGGGTGGCTTGACAGGGACAGCTGGATTCTCAGGGGTTTCTGCAGTCAGGCTGCCGGAATAGCACACATCACGTAGACGGGGAAACTCCACTCTACAGTCATGGAAGAATGAGTGAAACGGACAATAACATCGAAGCATTACTATTAGGATAGTTTTGACCTCATAGACGCCCTCACGGAAAGGGTCCCAGGGACACCCTGGGGACCCGTCTTGAGAAGAGCTGGTCCTGGAGGTGTGGAATATAAATGTTTAGCTTCCCGTCCCCCAAGGACCAGCCCTCACTTCTCCAATCCAGGCCCCTGTCCTCCCCTCCCCCTTCAGAAGTTGGAGAGTAGGAAGGAGATTCCCATCAGCACCAAGCACCAGAACCCAGGTGGTAGGCTTGCCACCCTTGCCCTTGGCAGACTGAGTTCTAAGGGTGCTTTTCATGAGGGCAATGGACTTGCATGCCACTGGCCCAGCCATGCAGACAGGCCTGGGCACACGGCTGCCACAGGCCAGGAGCAAAGTCCAGCCTGCCTGAGCATTGAGCGGACTGGTGTGCTCAAGCGGCTATTTTGCAGAATGGGTAGAGAAATATGTCTCTTCCAGAACCGTGGCGTGGGGAAAAAATATAAATCTAAGGCCCATTAGAGAGGACCTGTTATCAACGTTACTGGATATCAGATCAGACAAAGCTCAACCAGCACCAGTCCCAGCTATCTATGCATTGCTCACGATCGGGCAAATCAGCAGTTAATTTTTGCAGTGATGCACATTACTGACTTCACAATCTGTCGGGGCATAAATGGTAATTTTTTATGAAGTCCTCCGCAGTCAATTTTAAATAAAGATATTATCTCGGGAAAGTTGTGCATTATTATAGTTCTATAAACTTCCCCAGCCACTTGAAAGAAATGAAGTATTGATTATTTTTGCAAGAATCTTAATAGAACATGGCTCCTTTCTTAAATCTAAAACGAGCCTCCGACAGCAGCACAGCGCCTTTCGTCTGAGAACCTCTGTGAACGTTAGCACATTATTCTTCACGCCAGCCACTTACTGGGTGATTAGATCCCTAAAACGGTGCCTTTCCGGAGCCGAGCTGGAAGGGGCCGGACAATCAAATGGCATTAATTAAAAACGCTAACATTTTAAAACGCCAGGAGCAGTAATAAAGCAACATAAAATGGTTCAAGAAGAAAAGAATGCCTTTCTCTCAGGCTGGCCCTCAGAAAGGGCAGCCTAAAAGGCTGTTTTATGTCCTGAATCTCAGTACTTGGAGACCTTGGGGTGGGTGGGGTAAGGACTTGTAGCTTGAAAGAGAGAGAAGGATTCATAAACAGGTAACGTCCCAAGGTCACGTGGAAGGTCACATAATGACTCACACCAATCCCCCATCTGAAAGGCCACACCCATGAGCCGGTCCCAGCGGTGGAACTGCAGCTGATGAACGTGGTGGGGGAACGCTCCCTGCCCGCCCAGCCCCCACCCCGCCCTGTAAGGTCAGAGTCTGGGAGTGGAGGCACGCCAGCTGTGGGAACGGGAGCGCTCTCCACCCTGCAGAGGACAAGCGTTTTTGCCTGCCCCGCTGCACACGGGAAACTATACCAGGAAACTGATCATGTGACAAGCTGACAAGCCAGTGGCAGAGCCAGAAACCGCTCAGAACCGGCTGGTTCCTCAAGCAGGGACTTGCAGGGACACGACCACACCCGGGGGACCTGGCAGCTTAGGCAGGCTTGCGGGATGAACTGGTCCGCAGCTGGTGTTGACCCCCTCAGGTCATCCTGTGCTCGGCACAAGCTCCTCTTATGGAAAAAAATGATGATGTTTATATCTTCCGGATCCTGGGGCTCAGGGGATTGGGAACGGTCCCAGAGGCGTACCCACAAAGCTGTTACTGAGCGTCAACTGTTAGCTATGTGTCAAGTCCCCTGGTAGCAGTGCCGGTCTCAAGGTCTCTGCGTGCGGGGCACTGTGAGAAGGGTCCATACTTTCTCCCCTAACGACGGTGCTTCCAGTCTTTCCCGGGACTGGGCTCCCCCGGCAGGGTCCCTCTGCAGAACCGCACCCCATTTCGTGGAGCAGGCTCCCCAGGGAGCCCGCTCCCCAGCAGTGCTGGGAACCTGCAGAACCACAGCCACGTGGCGGCGACTAGGAGGACTGATCTCCTAACCTGAGCTCCACGCAGATGTGGAAGCCAGCCGGCGTGGGAAAGTTCTAGGACCAAATTCTTTGTCAGACCTTGGAGTCAGCCTCCAGGGGCAACTGTGCCACAGCCGCTGCCCTGGGCGTGCCCCCCACTCCTGCCAGCCGCTCCCGGGGAGCAGGGAGAAGAAAGGTGTGAGCTGTGGCCCACAAGTCACGGGTCCTGCAGGGACCTGTGATGGGGTCAGATCCCAACAGGGTTGAGACTGGCACTCAGCACCGTGGTGGGTCCCTCACAGCCTGACAATCATGTACGTGGCCAGTCTGACACCCACTCCCCCTCACTTCCTATTCCTCCCACCTCGATCCCGGCAGGGTCCGAACTCAAACTTGTCCTCCACTGGATCGACATCCACCTGAGCCTAACCACACAGATCTGGGCACACTGCCTAATAGAGCTCACGGAATAGTCAAGAAATGCTGTCACAGGCAGAGAGAAGGGCCTCCTGGTCGGTGCCTGGGGGAGCTGTGTCTTATCCTGGCAGGTGACTGAGCGAGACGCTCCGACTGTCGGGTGCCTGCCTACAGCGTGACAGGGTGGTCCCAAGGGTCCTTTCTAGGTGTGACTTCCTACTCATGTGCCAGAGCAGCACGAGAGGGGCAGCTGGCCGCTCACCGAGCACTTAGCACGGCTAGTCAGCACGCGGAGAGCTTTGCACGCTTCACCCACGGTCGATACCTTTGCGTGCCCTGTGGGATGGGTACTATTACACAAAAGGGAATCAGAGAGATTAATGAACATGCTACAGGTCACACAGCTAGTCAGTGGAAGAGCTGGGACTTGAACCCAGATGGCCAGACTCGGACCTCCATGCACACAGCCAGTGTGGCTTTGGGAGCTGGTCCCCCTTCTGGCCCCAGCTTGCTTCCTGGTGTTGACCACCCTCCACCCTGCGCTCCCAGGGCACACTGGACGGCCCTTCCCACTCGAAGTCCCGCTCACCCTCACCCAGCAGCCAGGAAGGTCTGTTCTAGCCAAATGCCAGCCCTGGCCAAGCAGTTTCATTTCACTCTATTCAGGAAGAGGGTGGCATCTGGGCAAAGCAGGGTGGATCTGGCGGGAGGGCTGTTATTGTCGGTGTGGTTTTTAATTCATCTGGCTGAGCCTAGCCCTTTATTAAGTGAGAAATGCTTTAAAAACAAAGTGAGAGCTCGCTCCCAGGGCTCCCGAGGGCGGGGCTTAGCTCAGAGCGGCAGGATCCTGGGCATGAGAGGAAGAACAGGACTCAACCTGCCCGTCGAAACTCTAGGAGTTTGGCTCCACAGTGCCCGGGCACGCACGAGGACAGCACCAGCCAGGCAACCCTGACAGGGAGAGGCAGAGGCCTGGGCACCAGGGGTCCACCGGGCCTGTGGGTGGGGGAACAGAGAGGTAGGGTGGAGGCGGGGGTGGGGCAGAGGAACAGAGGAGGACTGTTTGACTACCCCTGTCCCTTCTCTCAGCCACAGCAGTGAGGAGAGCCCCCGGAAGGGCACAGAGCTGTGGGGCAGCCCCTGGGCCCCAGAACCGAAGGACACCGGCAGGTCGGCATCCCATCCAGAGCTCTGCGTGCTGGGCCACGGGCTGCACCGGGAGGCCAGTGCCAGCCGCACCCAGGACAAGCCCCAGCAGAAGGAAGTGGCCTGACAGGCTGGCCAACAGAGTCACACTGATGCCAGTCACCCCAGAAGGCAAAGGGTGACAGCCATGCGTCAGGCTGCCCCATAGATGGTGGGCCAACCGCTCCTAAGCTGTTCTGGACAGGCCTGAGAGGTGCACGGCCCGGCAGGTCTGCTAATTATAAACAGTCACGTGTTCAGTCCCAGCTCCTGGTTTGCCTTGGGGTCCAAAAGTTAACTGTAACTTTGGATCCCACAACGACACTCTTACTCCTTCAAGCACTGGCCTTAATTTAGGGGAAATGTGTTATCACATGCTTGACGGGCCCGATGTTTCACCTGGGTCAGCTCCCTGAAATCATTGTACCCTCCCAACAACAAGCGAAGCAGCTGCCACTCTCCAGGTAAGAAAACCAGAGCACCCTCCACCCCGTGACTTGCCTGAGGTCACGCAGCACAAATGGGACCTGGCGCGCGGCACTGGGATCTACTGTCTCGTTACATCTCAGTGCTCCTGAGCAGCCCAGCGCTCCCTCCAGACGCCGACCCAGTCCTGCGGTTGTGTGGCAAGCTATGTCTGTCTCAGGTTAAATACTGGCACAGAATTCGAGTCCCCGAGATGACTTTGTTTGAAGCTGGTTGCTCCAGAGATGAAGACACACAGTCCCACCCACCTTCCTTCGTCTCCCCCGTCTCCAGCTCAGCACCAAAGCCCCAAACACCACGCGTCCAGCCCACTCCAACCACCAGGTGGCCTGGGGCTAACTGTCTCCGAGGTGGTCTCACATGCTCCACCCTCCTCATCTACCTGCCTCAGGCAGAGTGGGCTCCACCAAGCCTCCCAAACAAGGCTGCCTGTTCTCCAAACTCCCACATCTACCTGCCTCAGGCAGAGTGGGCTCCACCAAGCCTCCCAAACAAGGCTGCCTGTTCTCCAAACTCCCACATCTACCTGCCTCAGGCAGAGTGGGCTCCACCAAGCCTCCCAAACGAGGCTGCCTGTTCTCCAAGCTCCCACATCTACCTGCCTCAGGCAGAGTGGGCTCCACCAAGCCTCCCAAACGAGGCTGCCTGTTTCCAAGCCCTGTGGGGGCCGAGGCTCAGGGGATGTGTAGGTAAGCTCTTGAGTACATGCATCACCTCCCCCAGGGGCTTCCTGGCCACCTTCATCTCTCCGGTCCCGCAGAACTTCTGCTGGCGTTGAGGTGAAGAACAGTCATTTGTGCCAAAACCTTGCTTCTGCCACTGAGCTAGGTGTTTGCTGCAGACCTTGGAACGCCTCCACTGCAGGCTATGGAGAGTTTTCCACTTAGAAAAGAATCTGCAGCAACTGGGTGATTGAATGCCGGCTCAGTGGGTTGTCACAAGACAAGAATTCTCACCCACGGGGTACAGCTAAGAGGCAACCCTCTGGATCTGCTGCAAAACTGATTTTTTAAGTTTGGGGAAATTATAGACTTCAACTCCTTTCTTATTGAAGTAGCTCATGACTGAAGAACATATTAAACTGGGTCCCGAGGACTAAGCAACCTCCCCCAGGATAGGCCACAGGTCCAAGCAAATGAATCCCATCCTGACCTGGCCAGTTACTAAAATAGGGGTGACTGGGATCACTCTTCAGAGGCACCCAAGGAACAGTGATTAAACTACCAAGAGAGGCCACGGGGTATTAGGAAATGCCCGCGTGTGCCCAGCTGTATGCCTGAGTTTGCTCTGTAGCTGCGCTAATCCTCCGAGTAGAGCTCAGGCAGCAGGGTGCTGGGGGCCCAGCCACACCCCTGAGCTTGAGGGCGGACCCTGGGAACTGCCTGGGCTGCAGGAAATGGGAGGAAGTGCAGCTGCCCGGGCAGGGCAGGGTGAGGTACATGTGTGAGAACATCAGGTTTAGGAAACCTGCTTGATATAAAACTGGGCAGTCTGTGTTCAGCTTAGGCCTGCAGCGTGGGTAACGAGATGGGGTGGGGGCTGGGTAGGCTGGGCATGCAGGGAGCAAGCCGTGTGTGCGGGGAGACCTAGCTCCCAGGCCAGAAAACTAGTCAGAAAGTGCAGCCGCCCTGTGCTAGGATTTAGGGGCAGGATTCCAGAGGCCTAAAGAACTTAGCACAACCCCAGCTGCAGGGAGACTGGGCAGGGACATGGTTGATGAAATGGGGATACAACATGGGGGCATAACCCAGGGACAATAAAAAGTCTAGTGGCTAGAACCAGGACAGAAGCAGGAGCCAGAGGCCCAGAAAGGAACGGGGCGTCTGAGGGCCCAGCCTAGGCCCCGTGAAAGCCAGGCTGGCCGGAGAGGTCTGAGGCTGGCCGGAGAGGTTCGAGGCTGGCCGGAGAGGTTCGAGGCTGGCCGGAGAGGTTCGAGGCTGGCCGGAGTGTGCAGGTGGGGCTGAGCGCACCTGGCTGCAGCGATGGGAGCTGCCGATGGGCAGCTGGGAGCCGGGCAATGTGTTGTATCATGGAGTGGGTCAGCGTCGGAGAGCACAGCCTGGGGGAGCTGGCATGAACCAAGGCTGGCCTGCGAGGGTGCTGGTGGGAGGCTCTCTGCCGGAAGGGCTGCTCCTCCGCAGCGAGGCTGGCAAGCAGCGGCCAGTACCCACCCCTCCCGAGCTGCAGGCAGGATTCTTGCCATCAGCCATGGAGTAGGTTGTGCCTCCTCATCCCTCTGCATTTACTGAGCACTCACTTGTGCCAGGACAGTGCTGGGCTCTGCCTTGTACCCCCACGAGTGATGTAATGAGAGGTCCCAGGAGCCTCCAGGCGCAGGCAGCAGGGATGAGCTTGCATAGACATCATGTTGCCCAAGAACCTAAAGGCTCAGGAATCCCAAATCAGCTCCCCTGGGGCTGATGGGGAGGGATTGCCAAAGCAGAGGTGCTAGGAGGCAGTAAAGGTCAAAGGTGACGCCATGCCAAGCTGGCACAAGAGAAAATGGGTCAAAGATGTGCTTTTCTGGCTACCATCTAATTTACCAGATTTAGCCCAGATTATTTGCAATTTAGACTCTGCACAGAAGAAATTAAACCCACCACAATGGACCGCGTGTGTGGGTTCAGTTTCAGGCCTTTCCTTGGGCAAACCCATGACTTGGGCTCTGTCTTGGAGAGCACACAACTGGCGGCCATGAGGACAAGCCCAATCCCACAGCTTCGCAGAGGACCCCTGCCCGACAGAGCCTGTGCTTGGTAGGCCTAATCCACAACCTGTGCTCAGGGAGAAGGGGGCAAGTTTTTTGTTTTATATTTTTTTAAACTCATCTTTATTGTTGAATGTATTACAGATGTCCCCCCTTTTTTATCCCATTGACCCCCTTCTCCCCACTCCCACCCCCTCCTGCCTTCCCCACACTATTGTGGGTGTCCATTGGTTGTGCACATATGCATAGAAGTTCTTTGGTTTATCTCATTCTGCCCTCCCTCCCCCCTTCCCTTTGAGGTTCATCAGTCTAACAACCAATCTGTACTTACTAATTTCTTCATCTTTTTCACCCATCCTTCCAGCCCCCACCCATCTGGTAAGCACCAAAAAGTTCTCTGTATCTATGAGTCTGTTTCTGTTCTGCTTGTGCATTTGGTTTGTAGATTCAATTGTTGATAGATATGTATCCATTGCCATTTTATTGTTCATGTTTTTGTTCTTCTTCTCCTTCAAGAAGACCCTTCAACATTTCATATAATACTGGTTTGGTGGTGATAAACTCCTTTAGCTTTCTTTTGTCTGGGAAACTCTTGATATGTCTGTCGATTCTAAATGATAGCTTTGCAGGATAGAGTAGTCTTTGTTGTAGGTCGTTGCTTTTCATCACCTTGAATATCTCTTACCACTCCCTTCTGGCCTGCAAAGTTTCTTTTGAGAAATCATCTGACAGTCTTATGGGAGCTCCTTTGTAGGTTACAAACTGCTTTTCTCTTGCTGCTTTTAAGGTTCTCTCTTTGTCTTTAATCTTTGGCATTTTGATGGTGATGTGTCTTGGTGTGGATCTCTTTGGGTTCCTCTTGTTTGGGAATCTCTGTGCTTCCTGGACTTGTATGTCTGTTTCCTTCACCAAGTTAGGGATGTTTTCTGGCATTATTGTTTCAAATAGGTTTTCAGTTTCTTGTTCTCTCTCTTCTCCTTCCGGCACCTCTATGATGCAAACATTGGCACACTTGAAGTTGTTCTAGAGGCTCCTTACACTATCCTCATTTTTTTGGATTCTTTTTACTTTTTGCTGTTCTGATTGGGTGTTTGTTGCTTCCTTATATTCCAAATCAATGGTTTGCTTCTTGGCTTTACCTACTCTACTATTGATTACCTGTCAATTATTCTTTATTTTGGTTAGCGCATCCTTCATTTCTGAGGGTCCCTTTTTATGTTGTTGATGTTCTCACTAAGCTCCTTGAAGAAGGTCTCACCAAGTTCCCTGAGCAACCTTATAACCAGAGTTTTGATTGATGGCTTATCTCCATTTTGCTAAATTCTTTTCCTGGAGTTTCATTCTTTTCTTTCATTTGGGACATGTTTCTTTGTCTCTTCATTTTGGCTACTTCCTTGTGTTTGTCTCTATGTATTAGGTAGAGTTGCTATGTCTCCTAGGCTTCATAGGGTGGCCTACTGTTCCAGGTGTCCTGTAGGATCCAGTGGCACAGCCTCCCTGATCACCTCAGCTGTGTCCTCGAGGTGCACCCCTAGTGTGGACTACACACCCTTCTGTTGTAATTGAGTCTTGATTGCTGTTGGCACATCAGTGGGAGGGATTTACTCAGGCTGACCAGCTGCAAGGACTGGCTGTGCCCACTGACCACTGGCCTCTGACTCCCTTGGAGGATCAGCTGTGCAGGGCCCACCACACAGAGCAAGACTTACTTCATCAGGGTTCTGGTACCCACTAAGTCCACTCATTGCGTGGAGGTGGCTGGGGTGGTGTTTCGATGTGGTCTGAAGCTGTCTGCTAAGTGTGCTGGCTCTGGGGCAAGGTCAGCCACTGCCTGGGCTCTGTCCGGGGCCACCAGGAGTAGGCTACAAAGTGCTCTGCCAACAGCCGCTGCTTGTGCTGGGCTTGGAGGTGCCCAGGAAACGCCAAATTGTGAACTAATTGTCTTTTTTAATTAATTAAGCCAAGGACCAACCCATCAGGGCTCAAGAGTCTTTGCTTCTTCACAGGGTTGGAAACCAAGAAGGAATGTTGGGTAAAAAGACAAAAGGGAGCCTAGCACAGGAGATCCATATAAGGGGCACAAGACACACCCATATTGTTATTTAGGCCAACTCCTTTCGTGGGGGGCGGGGGTCACCACCTTCCTCCACACTCACGAAGACCCCGTCCCAGCCGCAGGGCAGGGCAGCCGCCTTCACACATCACTCATGCAGCAAGGAGCTCGGCCCCAGGGGAACCGCAAGTTCCCAGCTCCATCGAAAGGACTCATGAGGGAGAAAAGCAAATATGATCTTCTGTGGAACAGAGAAAGCTTTTCGCAAGTATAAATGCGGCCTTGAAAATGCACAGCAACTTCCTCGGCGGCGTGGGTCTGCGCGGCTGTTCAGAAGCAGCTCTGTCTCCCCTCCGCACACCCGGGCGCGGGCCAGCCTGACTTCTCCGCAGCGGAAATGCAGAGCGGCAAGCCAGGGGCTCGGCACATCTGGCAGGCTTGCCGCATCAACCCTACACGAATGGAAGGGATTTGGGGAAATACATTCTTTTTTTCTCAATCAAACCGGCGTTGTGCGTGGATCGGGAGCCGGCGCGGTGAACTGGAAGCGTCAACATGTGCGGGAATCGGTCACCTGGTGGATGGCTTCCAGACTGCCAACGCCCACCCGTCTTCCCAAGGCAAGCTTTCCGGAGAGAGCTGGTTTTCAGTAGCCCCGGGTCAAGGACTGCTGAAGGGCCGCAAAGCCGGGGCTCTGAGCCTGCGCTAACAGAACTGCTGCCCTTTACTGCCTGTGCCCACCTGAAGTCTAAATAAAGCTCCGTCGGTCCATCCAGATGTTTCTATGAAATGCAACTGAAGACGCGTTACACCACAGAGGAGCAGTTCGTTCGCTCGGGGCTCTAATTCCGTTTTCTGAAGGACCCTGGACACCGCCGGCTTGATGACCCTCCTGGGCTTCAGAAAGTAACCAGCTGATCGTCTGTGGGCCCTGCGCCAGGCGACTCGAATCTGACTGGTCTAGTCGCCCAGGCTCCGAATGCTGCAGTCCCAGACACTTGGAGTGCAGCACGCCCACTAACACTCTGTCCTGGCCGAATGAGGGCAGGGCTCAGGTCTCGTCCACAGACACTCCTGAAGAAGAAAGAAACAGGAGAGAGAGGGAGGGACGTGCTGACTGTGACAGTCCGCCTTGGGAGCTGGAGGCGACCACACTCCTCGTGGCTGGGATTAGGACATCTGGCTGAAGCCTCACACCTTTGCCTGCTCTGTGACCTGAATTCTTTACTTAACCATCTTTTGAGCCACCTGAGGGAACTGAACTCATAATTTCCCTGCCACTTTTTTTTTTTTTAATTGATTTGTTAGAGAGAGAGGAAGGGAGAGAGAGATAGAAACATCGATGAGAGAGAGATACAAGGTTCGGCTGCCTCCTGCACGCCCCCTACTGGGGATCAAGCCAGCAACCCCAGGCATGTGCCCTAATGGGGAATCTAACCAGGACCTCTCAGTCCACTGACCCACACCTGCCTGGTGCTGCCACTTTTGGTTTTTTTTATCCTCACCCAAGGACATTTTTTCCATTTTTTTGTTCAGGTAGAGTGGGAGGGAGAGAGAGGAAGAAAAAGAGAGAGAGAGAGAGAGAGAAACATCGATGTGAAAGGGACACATCGAGTGGCTGCCACCCACCCGACCAACCAGAGCCGGGGACAAACTGCAACCGAGGTACGTGCCCTTAGCGGGAACCGAACCCGGGTCTCTCAGGACCGCAGGCCGATGCTCTAACCACTGAGCCAAACCGGCCAGGTCCCACTTTTGTTTTTAATGTTCAGCTCTGCATTTTAAGACAGTGAGTATGAGAACTCAGTACCATCTCCCCGCCCAGACCTCACCTGGATCCTTGCAGAAAGTCAGGAGCAGCTGAGAAACTTACGCAGCACTGACTTCCATCTCCAAAGGCCTCCATGTCTCTCCAAGTGGAAAGACTTGAAAACATTTTGCTTCCAATCACCATTGCATCACATCAAGTATACCGAACAGGAAAAAAATTAAGCTTAAGCATATCCCATGTATTCCGACGTTGAGTCGTGGGTGACCTGTCAGTCAGAGGGCAGGGATGACTTCAGAGCCTTCTGAACAGCAGGTTTGACCGGGGTGGGGCTGGAGTTAATAATTACACCTCTATTTGTGGCAACACTACTTTCTCAAAATGCAATTATCTACGTTGTTTTATTAGATCATTAAAAATCCTATGATGTGAAAAAAAGCAAGTGTTTTTTTCCATACCTTTCACAAACTAAAAAAAAAAAAAAAGTAAGCTGAGAAATGTGAAATAAATGTCTTGCTCCAGCTGCGGGAGAACCGGCCCCCCAGCCCTGACCAGTCGGGGTTCTAACGCCTGCTGAGAGCTACTCTGAGCAGTCAGCCCTAGAAAAAGATACCACAAGAAACCCTGTTTCCTCCGACATCTACAAATCGGATGTTACTTCCCATATCCAGCCCAAGTCCAGCTGTATTCTTAGCCTTTCTTATGAGATTAATTTGCATGGAATCTCGGACATAGTATCGAGGAGGATTTTTTAAGATAATAATCCCTTTTACATACCTTAACCGCTTCCTGTCCTTCCCACACACACTCACGTGTAAAACTGCACATATAAAATGCGTTTTAAGGAAAAAAGTGACGTCTTTTGCAAAAGCATCTCTGTTCCTCACTGCCACGAGCCCGGAAGCGGGTTTTCCAGGTGAAGCCCATCCCCGCAGGAGCAGGTGGCAGCGGAGACGGGACTCAGTTAAGCCCCGAAACGGCAGGGCCAGCGGGTGAGGCCGAGAGGAAGTGCAGACCCTAGGAAACAGACTGCCTTTGTGAAAATGTATCTAGTTGTTTTGTTTTGTTTTCTTGCTTTGGAATGAGATGGATTGGGTGTGTTTACAAAACCTGGAGGCTTTTTACAGCTACTGTTTAGTTAACAGCTTCTGACATCAGCCCAGGAAGTGCTGGATCACTTTCTGGATATAAAAATTCTCAAGGAGAATCCAAGGTGACGCTAAGAACCGCTGTCAACCCACACAGGTAGTTATAAAGCCACGAGTAAAACAAAACAAAACCTTCTTCACTGGAACACCAGGTGGCCGGATAGAGAAGCGGAAACGTCCCCAGAATGAGCCCCCATGACAACAAGGACCACACTGGAATCCCTCAGTGTCCCCGACTCAGGAACACCCACTGGTGAGCAGCCTGGGTACATGGCGGTGCTCTGGGCCTGCCTGCCCGAGGGGCTTCGAGCCCGACTGGGCCAGGTAGCCAGGGCGCGGCTTCTCCGACCTGCCCGATCTCAGGACTCCCCGCCTGCTTGACAACTTGCAGACCCCCGAGCCCTCTCTCCAGGGACAGATCCACAGCTAAGACTGGGGATCTGGATGTCTAACCAGCACTTATCCCTGGCTTCCCCCCTCCTCCCCACCCAACCATTTGCATCAACCACATTTGGGAAATACTGGCTTGGGGATACCGACCCCCAGGTGTGGGCTGGCCTGGGAAGCTAACAAACTCTGCGAGCGTGGAGAGGACACTGTGGCAGAGGTTCTCGACCTGGACGGTGTGTAGGAACGAAGGAGGGTTCTGACTCTCGTCTGGAGTTGACCCAGGTCCACAGCCCGCACGGCGCCTACACCTTCCCCATCCCGACAGCCCCAGCACAGCGTACCTGCGGCCGCGGGTCTCCCACTAGGAAACTTCTCTGCCTGCCCTGGAGTCTCTGCCAACACACAGTGAGCATGCTGCCTCCTTTGCTGGGTGTAGGGAGCTCTGGGTGACGTCAGCTTTTCTCATTTGGCTGGTTCTCGTATTTCCACAAACGTCTGCAGCATGCCCTGGTGACCAGAGCAGACCAGGCAGACCCTCAGATTTTTAGGGGCAAGACTCTGGGGCCAGACTAACTTCGGGAGACCATGGGATTTCTATTGCTCTTCTTAAAGGGCTCAGGCTGACACCATTTAAGGAAGTCAATATCTTGGAACCACTTTGGATTCCAACAGACCTGAGCACAGACCCAAAGTCCAGCCACTTCCTAGCTGTGTCTCGGGGCCCGGCCCCCACAAGGTGGTCCCCGCCAGAGCAGCAGCATCCAGTCGCCTGGGGGCTTCTTGGAAATGCCGAGGCTTGGGCCCACACCCGACCCCCTGAATCAGAATCTGCACTTTGACAAGATGCCCAGAAGTTCCCACACGCTGGCTGAGCTCACGAAGCATCTCGGAGACTGTTTCCTCCCTGGGAAATGGGGAAATGATATCTTCCTTCGGAGACACCCAGAAGGATGAGACTGGGAGCAGACACTCGATGGAGAGGTTGGCTCCTGCTCTCGTCTTTCCTTCTTGGGGCTCCGTTTTCCTCCCTCTGTTACCCTGTTACCAGGAGAACAGATAATCCTCTCTCCCCTCATCATTTCTCCCTTCTTTCCCTAATAGCACAACTGGGTTATAATAAGGGAAAATGCTTTCAGCGAGGAAGTGCTATCGATTCTCCAACCCATTCTGCCGCCAGCTGGCCAGAGGGTGCGGGGAGGGAAGGGAGAAGCCTGCCTGGAGTAGAGCTTCCAGATTTCACAGCTGAGGGTGGCTGGGAGGGACCTGTCCAGCTGAGAGATGACACGTCCCCAAAGGCTGAGAACTGCCCTGACTCCCAGCACAGTGGGCCTCGGGCTCCACAGTCTTCTTCCGACTCCAAGGGCAGCAGAAACCGCAAGACCCTGCTCCCAGCTGCTCCTAAAGCTATGACCAAAATATGATGGCCGATGTTTCAGGACTTCCTGGACTCTGGGCCTTATGCTAAGCACTTTACAAGAATTATCTCATTCATCATCACAAAAGCCTGTGAAGATGGCATTGTTGTCATCTTCTCCCCCACCCACCCATCGCATACAGTGCGCGCGCGCACACACACACACGCGTCCAGGTTGATAGGGGTTCTAGGCCACACACCAGCAAGCAGCAGTGCCTGGACTTGCGTCCACCTCTCTGTGTCTGGCCTTAGTCTCCACCCCCAAGCCCCGGACACTCCACGGCTGCCAGGTGAGCAGAGCTGTCAGGACAGAAGCCTGCAGGGCCATTGCCACATCTCATTTTAATTTTACTGTGGTTTCAGAATGTGTCCACCCATTGGAATCACTTGAAGAGAATCAAAAGAAGAGGAGGAGGAGGAAAAGAGAAGAGAAAAAAAAAAACAAGACGAGACAGCTGTCTGTTATAACCCAGTAATTCTCCATCCGCTAGAAGAAGGAACCTCTCCTGGGTTCCTTGAACCCGAGTTGTTTTTGCAAAAACTCTTGAAGAGGAAGGTATGCATCAGCCATGACCACAAGGGTGGTGACCATGAGCTTAACTAATCAGGAGATGCCAGACGGGGCAATGAGACATTCAAGGCGGGGTCTAGTAATGTTAAGAAATATAAAATAAACAACTTGTGCAGCTGCTAACTGCTGATCTCTGCTTCTGTGCACGTAGCTTGCTTGCTCTGCTGAACTTGTGAGTAACCCCTGTCCTATATAAGCAACCCTGCCCCTGAGCTCGGGGCTGCAGTTCTCCCCTGTGTAGGTTGGCTGCAGTCCCTGCACAGGTAACAAAGCTCCTAATATTCAAAATTACTTTGTGGCCGAATGAGGTTGATTCTCCTGGGTTACAACACTGTCAAGGCCTTACCTCAAACCACTTGAATCAAAATCCCCAGGTATGGGGCTCAGACATCAGTATTTTTTTAAATCTCACCAGATGACTCTGAAGCACAGAAGGTAGGAGACGAAACAGAGAAGAGAAAACAAGACAAGAGGTGGGCCTGTAGGAAAATTTTTCTAAAATCTCAAAATTTTCAGTTGATGAGAAAGGAAGTCCTAAGCGGTTACCCATTCTCAAACAAGTCTTTGATCTGAGAGAGAGAGAGAGAGAGAGAGAGAGAGAGAGAGAGAGAGATCTTCTGTAGCTGGAGGCTATATTTCCACCCACAAGAACATCTTAGGCAAGTGGAGTTTCTGGCCACACCCACAACCAAGCAAAGGCTGGTGGCTGGGCTCAGACCCCCCTGGCTCCCAGGCCAATCTTGATTCCCCAGGACGCCTTCCAGTGGCCTGGTCCTTGCAGGCCCTCCCAGGATACTAACGCGCTGACATCGCCAGACCCCCAGCCTCTCGCCCAGGGCCCTGGGAGACTGGGACTAGAGTTAAACCTGAAATAGTAAAGAAAAACAGAACCAGGCAAAGAGTTATTCTTTGCTCTTCTGCTGTTTTCACTTGTTTTAAACACCTCTACCGTAGGGGTGGGTGCAGAGCACTGGATGGGGAGCTGCAGGTTTGAAAATGTGCCTGGAAGACAGAACAGGAGCCCAGGACCATGGCCTCTGCCTTCACCGTCCCTGCCAGACTCTGCGTCCCTGGGCTCCTCCAGGTCTAAAAAGCCCTGGAATGTTCTGATGGGTTCTAGGATCTTGACAAGCAGAAAATGCCATCCCCTGGCCAAACCCAAAAAGTTTGCTGGGACTCCCAGCAAACAAAACCAATTACATTGTATAACATTTAACAAACTTAAAATCGGCCCCTTTAACAACTTTGATGGCTCCCTGTCCAGCAGGCCTCTAACCTGGCTCAGAGTCAACAAAGGGCAAGGTGGCCCCTGCTGGGGTCACAATTAGGTGAGAAGTGTTCACACTGGGGCTAGAATTACCCAAAATCACACTTAAGCTGCCTATTAAAACCCAAACCCCGGGATGGCTGCATGGTGCCCAAGCTCACCCCAGGGTATTGGGGGAAGGGGCGGCCTAGTTACACCTGGGCAAAATGGAAAAGTGGCCTCCTGGGCCAGGGGCTTTGGAAATACAGAGGAGAGGCATCTGGGGCTTCCCAGCCTGCTCTGGGCTTAACCCCGGGGAGAGGCTCAGACAGTGATGCTCGGCTCCGCGGTGACAGTGGAGGGAAACTTGCCAGCGTCAGGCCGGGGTCGCCCTCACCCGGTGGGCCTGCCCCAGAGTGTTGCTATGGTCTGGCTCCCTGGCTGGGACTGGGACTGGGGCACTTTCATCAGCATGTACCTTTCTGGTGTGTTTGAGGAAATGACCTGAGCTCTCATTCCTCCTGGTCCCAACACTGTCAACCTGCCACTGGCCCTGGTCAAGGCAGAGCCGCTCCTACTGAGTCCAGAGCCGGAGCCCCAGACACGCCCACTGCCAGGCCGCCATTCCCAGGCGGCTCCAGGAGCGGGCAGCCCCTCCTCGCAGCGGCCTGTGTCCTGGTCGTCCTGCCCCAGCCCAGCCTGAGCAGCCTGTGCGAGGCCCGAGCTCCCACGAGCCGTCTGCACACCGCGCAGAGCCGAACGCTCCGCCGGGCGCTTTCCTTTGCGATGTTTCAAGTGCAAAACATCACCTTGTCCCCTCCACACGAGCCAGCATGCCAACGCCCAGAGAAGGCCTTCAGCGCTGCAGGGTCCACTCCCCTTGCCTTTGATAAGCTGGGTGGATGTCATTAGACGGTCTGCATAGGACCAACCGACACCGGCCAGGAGCGGTGCCGGGCTGTCTGTCGGGCTCGCCTCAGATCAGGCCCAGGCTAACGACGGGGTGGAATGGCCAACGCAGGGTCCCTCGTCTGGGGTGGGCTGGTCCAGCTGCTCACAGATGGGGCCTATCCCGAAAATGGCCAGCACCTCATGGGTCTGTGCCCCCCTTTTTCTTCCTAAGTCTGTCTCAATATTAGCTACAGCCGGTCTGCTGTGGTCATGTTTTGTTCTGTTTGTCACAAACCTCATTATTGAAAAATTCTCTGAGGTTAAAAAAGTGGAAGAATAGAAAACCTTAAAAAATAAGTCACTCCTTTATTTCTACTTCAAAATATACTATGTACATTTGAAACCCTAAGGGAAAGTAGAGCGGGAAATTATGCCATCATAAAAATAAAGTAAGATAAAAATAATGATTGCCCATTTCAGATGTGCCTCTCATCGGGCTGAAGGGGGCGAGAGCCGCCCGAGGGCAGTGCGGCTTTGGGGGGCCAGCCCTCCGGCGGTCTCGGGGCCGCCTCCCCGGGTCCCGTGTCTAAGAGTTGCTGGAGGGTTTTGAGGACTTGCTGTGGCTGTCCGGCGGCCAGCTCCTGCAGCCGGGAGCCCATCTGCTCCTGGAGGCGCCTGGACAGCCGACACACCACCGTGCGGACGTTCCCGCTGTGCCCGGGCAGGACCCCATTCCCGGTCATGTTGTCCAGGAAGTACCAGAGGACCGGAAGCACGTGGCGCTCCACGGCCTGGGGCTTTCGGGGGTACACGGCGGCCACCAGCACTGTCATGCGGAAAAAAAGAGAGTGACTTGAGTCAGGCGCTCTGTTCTTCTCCCACGCCCTCTCTTGGGACATCAACTCTGTCCCTCAAAGGGCGGGCGCAGGTAACCCTACAGCCACCCCAGCCGCCGCAAGGGGAGCAAGGGGGAGGTCAGAGCAGGCAGCACTAAGAACACGATCCTGATTAGCTACCTGCTCTGAGCACCTGTGACTGAAGGGTTCCTAAACTTCCACCCACACCGGAGGGTGAGAACTTTCCCAAGAGCCAGGCCCAGGCAGGGCTCCCCACTTCCACCACAGGGCAGGGGCCCGCCTGTTCCCAACAGCTCCCTTCCCTGCCCTGCCCCAGCCGCCACACTGCACTCCTCCCCTCCCAAAGGGAGGCATCAGTGCCACCCACCTGAGCTGCACATCCCCCGGGGTTCAGGGAGGGGGTCACCTGGCTGAGGGGGGTCTCTCGAGCTGGCAGAGACTGGCACTGGCCCTTCTGGGAGTCATCAGGAGGAAGAAACCCCATTAAACTTAAGCTTGCAAGGCAGCTGGAGTAATCAGCAAAGGGTTCGCTCCTGCTAAGCGCTGCTGTTATTAGTCTGCACCTGTGCCGGTTGACACTGCCTCTGTGCTCCAGGCTGACGCCTAGTTAACGCAGGCGCTGCATGGAAACTCGCGCTTGGGGTCTCTTGGAAATCCATGGAAAATAGATACAGTAAATAGATCATCTAAAGGGGGGTGCCCGCCCACCTCTGGGCCCCGTAAATGACCTACACAAGGACAGGTAGGCTTTCACCCAGAAAATACTGATTCTTGAGCAACAGAAAGGGTTCCTTGTCTGGTACCCAGGGTGGGGTAGTTATGTGGCCCCTTTCCTACCCCAGGCACCCACAGCATGGCACTGTGGCCGCACTGTGACCCCAGCCCTGCCTTACTGGCCTCACCAGCTTGGGGAAGGCCTGGCACCTGCATGGGAAGTAAGGGGCCACTCCGAGGTCACCGGGAGAACGAAACCAGGGCAAGCAGCCAGGCCAGGAGCAAGAGATGGGCGGCGGCGGAGCCTTCGGTCAGGCATGTGTGCTGAGCATCCCAGGGGCCCGGTGCTGTGAGGCCCTGGCTGGGCCAGCAGATGGAGGTGGGCACCGTGTGGGATGTGCTCTCTAGAGGCACATGAAACAGGGCAGGAGGGCTGGGAGGCAGAGGAAGGGTTGCCAGACCAAGTGGGCCTTGGAAGAGGGAGAGAAGGCTCTGCCGGCCAGGAGCCAGGCGTGGGCAGGGAGACCGGCCTCTGTAAGGGGCGGCATGCTGGCACCTAGGAGGCAAAGCCTAGGGCCGCTCGGGCAGAGGTAGCGCAGCGTGGAGGCGGAGGGCTTGGCGCTGCTGCCAAGTTCCTGGGGACAAATCCTGGGTTACCCGCCCAGGGACCTTGGGTACCTAACCTTTCTAAGCTGTTTTCCTTACTTCCTGGAGGGATAATCATGGGATTGTTATGAGGATGATTCGTTATGAGGTTGAGTGGGGTTGTTATGAGGATGAGTGATCCAGGACCTATAATTGGGGTTGGGGGAAAGGGGCAGGGTCTAGACTCCAGAGCAGTGGTTCTCAACCTTCCTAATGCCGCGACCCTTTAATACATTCCTCATGTTGTGGTGACCCCCAACCATAAAATTATTTTTGCTGCTACTTCATAACTGTAATTTTGCTACTGTTATGAATCGCCACTGGAAATATGTTCTCCAATGGTCTTAGGCGACCCCTGTGAAAAGGTCATTTGACCCCCAAAGGGGTTGTGACCCACAGGCTGAGAACCACTGCTCTAGAGGGACAGGCAGAGACAGGCCTTGTGGGCCACTCCAGGGAGCCTGGCCACTCTCCTGAAGTCTGCTGGGAACCATGCAAGGATCTAAGGGGGGGAGCATGATCCATCTGCATTTTAGGGGGAGGCCAGAGACCAGACTGAGTTCTGCCTCCTTCCCAGTTGGGACCTCCCTAAGACGGAGAAGAAGGCTCTGTGGGCAAGAAAGGTGATGCAAGCCAACTTCAGTAACCTGCCCAGGTCGGAGTTGGCAGGTGGCAAATGGGTCGGTCCCCCAAAGCCTGTGTCCCTTCCCTGCTGCCTCAAGGACCACAGGAGAAGGTCCAGCACTGGAATGAAACCACTCGAGGCCAATGCTGCAAACACCAAGCAGACAGGCTGGAGCGAGCTTTCCTTGGCTGAAGCTTGAACAGGGCCGAGCCGCCTCAGGCCGACCCCACCACCACGTAACAGTCCCGGCACCTGGCCGAGGGGTCGTGTGGGCTTGAAATCCAGCCCGTGCCCCACTCGCCAGGCCGCACGTGCCTAAGAAGAGGCAACTGCATCTCATTGTCATGACCACACTACTGGCGACTGAGCCGTGGGCCAGCAGGGCGGTGTCTGCCCAGAGGGGTCAGGCGCCCCTCGCACTAGCCCCAGGGAGGAAGGAAGGCATCGTGGTTTCTTAAGAACTCTCTTGGTTATGTGCAAACCTGCCTCATTCCGACCCAATGCAAAGACTGTCTTCTGGCAATGTAGGGATTCTCTTTAAAAGCCAGATGATCAAAACTTTTCAATGGTCCGTAATTATTTTTGGTCTAAGATAAGTGGGTTCAACCACTTGCCAGGAGAGAAGAATAGAGATTGACCGGAAGGCGGTAGGGGACGTGCTTGGGGTGCTCACCTGACAGACGGTCTGTGACATCCAGCAAAGCACGGCCACTCAGGAAGCGCACCCGCCCCGCAAACGCCTGCAGGAGGCAAAGGTTGTCTGAAAGAGACAGAGGGTGTGACGCTGCGGCTGAGCAATGGCACTGGCTCAGTGACAGGCACCCACGGCACCTACGTGGGGAAGAAGCCCTTTGGGATGCTACATTAATTGTTTTCAGGTCACAATGGGGCCACTTTAAGAAGTGAATGTAGCCCTGGCCGGTTTGGCTCAGTGACTAGAGCGTCAGCCTACAGACCAGAGAGGTCTGGGTTCGGTTCCCGCTGAGGGTACGTACCTCAGTTGCAGTTCATCCCCGGCCCCAGTTGGGGTTGTGTGGGTGGCAGCCACTCGATGTGTCCCTCTCACATCGATGTTTCTCTCTCTCTCTTCCTCCCTCTCTCCCTCCTGCTCTATCTGAAGATAAATGCAAAAGTGTCCTCATGTGAGAATGAAAAGTAAATAAAATAAGTAACTGTACGTGGGTTGTTTGGGGAAGACGGAGGGGCCTGGGGCAGTTAAAGAGGCTCCAGACAGACCTCACTTCCCCCCACAGATTTCCTTCCGGTGGTCGGTGCCCTCGACGTCTGTGAGCCCTCAGGGGGGTGGGGGAAGAGGGTGACAGATGGCTAGAGATAGATGAGAGGTAGGTAGATAGATAGATGATACTACAGAGATAATGATAGATAACTGATGGATTGATAGATGATAGAGATCATTGATGACAGATGATAGATAACAGGTAGATAGGTAATTGATAAGTGATTGATGATAGATGACGGATGATAGAGACAGATGGATAGATGGATATAGATGTGGAAATATATAAATATAATTTTAGGGGAAACTGAGGCACTGAGCCATGGTCACCCCAAAGGGTAGATAGAGACAGATGGATAGATGAGGGTTGGGGTCAGAGTTCAGAGATCATGGCTCTCCTCAAAACCTGAGCTTGAGCTCGAAGCAATAGGATGTGCCCGCAGCCAGGTGGCCGGTATTTCACACTTCACATTTATTGGTGTCCTCTGTGTGTAGGCATGGAGCTAGGAACCAAGTAAGACCTGTCCTCCTTCTCTTTCCCCTCAAGACGTGAACCCTAACACAGCAGGGAGCACCCTGCTTGAGTAACTAGAGCGGGGGGTGGGGGGGGGGGACAGGGTGGTATCTGCAGCTGCGGTGACCTGTCTCCCGCTCTCCGGACTTTCCCTGTGTAGGGCTGAAGTCCCATGTCCCGGGAATCCTCCCAGCCCTTGCAGACCAGGATGGTTGGTCACCGTATCAGGAGCAAAATCACCTGGCTGGCTCTGGAAGGGCCAGAGGAGGGACGTCAAAAGTTGGGGGAGGGGGCAAGTATTATCTCTCAATAGTCTCCCTATAACCTCACAGTGCAAGGCCCAGGCCCAGGCGACATGCTCGTGAGACAACCAAGCTTCTCCTGCCCCCGTTCCCCCGTTCACCTTTCAGAAGGCTGAGAAGAAAGACAGAGTTTCTGTCTTTTCCTAATTGTCCCAGGAGCCCAGCTCCCCCTGCTACCCAGCCTTGCCCATGGGGAACCTAGGGACCAAGCTCTTCCCCGCTTGGATCCTGAAGGAGTGTTCTTTACAGACAGGGACCACCTGTAAAATCACAGCAGAGGGGGGTTTCGGGGTAAAGAGGCCAGGCCCCCGCATTCTCTGATGTATTTCTAAAGCCAACTCCAGCTGGACCCCCAGGTGCTGAATTTAGAAGCTGCTCCCTCTTCCCCATCCCCGCTGATGTCTCCCAGCTTCTGAACCGGTTCAACTTGAAGCCCTGCCTTCCTCACAAAGGCATGCAGGGTGAAGGTGCCCCTCACCCAGGGAAGGTACCCTAATCTAGAGGGTACACAAGGTCGGACCGGCCCCTTCTGCCTCCGCCGTGACCTGGAGGCAGCCGGCGCTCCCCGCTCCAGCCGGGTGCGACCGCAGCAGGCACCGCAAACCCCATGGAGGCGGGGCAGCACCAACACGCGTTTTTCAGGACGTTGCTGTGGGTCTGGCAGCAGACCCCAGCAGATGTGTCCTGGGGTCCCAGGAGCTGTCCATCTCAAAACCAGATTTCTCTGTGCGGCGACAGCTATCAGGGACCGGCCTGAGGAAGTCTCTTCAGGTCAGCTGCACCTTTTCCAAACTCAGCACCGTCTCAGCACACCCCCCCCCCCCCAGCAACCATTCTGGCCAAGAGCTCACTCCCACTTCCCTTGCTCTCTTCCTGAGACCTGGAAGGTGTACAGAGGAGAAAATGTACATCTCTGCCGCTTACGAGTTCCACCCGTAAGGCAAGAATCTTTACAATAATGTACACTGGGAGATAAGAGAGATGCCAGCCTCTAGAATACTGCAGTTTGCAAGACGTGGGCTCAGGGTGTCTTGGTACAGCTGTAGTTGTATAAAAACAGGTTTTTCTATCATCAGCTGCATTATTGTGTGAGGTGCTTCAATGCCCCACCCCGCACCCCATCGCCAGCCGTGAGCTCACCTCTGAAGACAAGGACTTCTCCCTCCATGCTCTCCCCCCACACCACCCAGCCCAGGGCACTCTCTGGGTGCAGCTGGGCCTCATCCTCCTGGCCACTGACATGGCCTCCCAAGCGGGAAAGAAGTAAAGAACTTGGGGAATACTCGAAACTGCGCATCCCGCAGACATCGATGCCACCACAATGCCACAGTGCCCGTCGCACAACAGGTGCTCAATAAATGCTCATGGAGGACAGAGCAATGTTGAAGCACAGACACCCGTGTGCCCAAGCTGGTTTAGAGACCCAGAGCACCATGCCCAGGCGGCTGGCATCTCTTCCTCTGGCTACTTTCACGGCGAAGGGTGCTCACCTTTCCCCTCACACCCAGGGCTAATGTTGGGCAGGAAAGCCTGGAAGTTAAGGGTGCGGGCTCTGGGTTCAGATTGCCTAGGTCTGAATCTTGGCCCTTTCTCATTTTACTGTGTAACACTGGGCAAGTCACTCAGCCTCTCTACACCTCAGTTTACCCTTCTATAAAATGGGGGTATACTAGTACCTTCCTTACAGAGCTGCTGTGAGGATTAAATGAGTTAACATAATGCTTAGGATAGTGAGCATATAATTCCCATGTAAGTATCAGCTATTGTTGCTGCTATGACTATTATTACCCTAAAACACTCCGAAAGCCCAGCAAACTTCATGGTAGAGAGATCAATTAAGAGGCTGAAATCTAACTTTTGAAACCTTAACATCCGTGCTCTGTGAGCCTGGCCCAGGGTGTTCAGAGACTCGTCTGCACCACAAGGAGGCCATGGCTGGTTGTGGCGCTGCCCACACCAACGGGCAAGCCAAGCCCCGTGTTAGAGAGGACACAGCATGGCTGGCAGGCGAGACACCTGCCGTCCCTGGGCCTCGCCTCCCCTCTCTGCCATGGGGCAGAGTCCAGGGGCCTCGCACCTGCCCCGTCCAGCAAACCCCGAGGCCGCCTGGCCTCATCCTCCCCGGCTGCTGGGAGACCAGAGGAGAGCTTGAAGAAAGTGCATGTGAACACTGGCAGAGAGAAACCGGAATCACACTGGACTCCTGACAATAAGTTATGAGTTATCATGTCACACGGCTGACTCCTCTGCGGACACCAATACTACGTCTGCTCATCACAGCAAAAACGGAAGATCCACCTAAACAGAAAAGCAAGCTCTGGTGTGGCAGGTGTGGAGTGGGGAAAAGCAACTCACGCGTGTAATTATATGTAAATGCTTGTGCCGTGTCTTTTTTTTTTTAATCAGGATGCAGATTCAAATGTGGAATATAATCACAACCATGTGTACAAACAGGCACAGAAAAATATCTATGATGAAAAGTGCCAAATGTTAATAATGGTTTATTTTAGGAGTTGGGACTATAAGTGTTTTTTTTCCTCCAGATGCTTTGCATTTTTATTTTCTCAATAATTAATAAGTATACTTTTACAGTGGTAGAAAGCACACTTTATATTTTTAAATTAACTAGAAAGATTGCATAATAGCACAATTGTATTTACATTATGATTTTTTAACCAGGAAAAACTGTATGCATGTAGACAAGAAATAGAAGATAAGAGAGATGTTTTTAAGCAGCTGGTGTAGAGGGTGGGCAACATGGAGGAATTTGTAAATTCCATTAACGATGTAAGTTTGGTCACATAACTTATATAAGGTGATAAGTTTAAAGTCAGAGAGAAAGTAGCCGAAGTAGTCTGAAGCCACCCACTTTTGAGCTTCTCTGCTCTCTCCAGCACTGGCCAGGGACTGCAGTCAATTACGAGGACTTTGGGGGCTCAGAAGCCTGAATGTGGGAGTCTGACCAGGAGCAGGTGAGCTGTCAGCAGTCTGAGGTTTTAACTAGTAAGGTTTCTTCTGTAACTCACCCAGTAACAGAGCCAAAGGACCAGCTGGTTGGCTCAGGAACTGCCTGGATACCTGGCCTCACCCCTGGAGAAGCCCCAAGGCTAGCAGGGGCAAAGGGCAGAGGTCAGGGAGCAAGGTGGCCAACATGTCTCCTTCCTCACCATCCCCCCGAAAGGGGAAATGGGCAGAAATTCCACATGCTCTGTAACCAATATACCACCTGACCCTAAAAAAAAAGCCTAAAAGCTAGAAGAGATGTGGCAGCTGAGTTGACCTTATTGCTGAATTCCAGAAGGAAGCGGGACCTTAAGAAGTCGCTGCAGAAGGCCAGCCCCCGGTTAGGCTGCGCAGCCTGGACTTCGTGCCAGGAGCGGCCTAGCCAAGCCGTGCTCTTGACTGCTCGGCCCGGTAGAGCAGGACGGACACAGCATGTTGAGCTGTTGCTCTGAAGTATTTCACAGGTTCTCTCCAGCTCGGAGCCCAGAATCCCTCGTGGGGCATGAGGACCAGGCTTGGGACAAACCCCCTCTGCTCAAAGGGCTCCATGCCACTTCCAGGACGGGGTGCACAGGGTGCTCAGGGTCCCCCCAGGAACCGCTGGGGCCCCCAGGCTCGGCCTGGGAGATCTGGAAGGAAGGTTAACGCCCCCTCTCTTCTGTCCCACCTGCCCCACCTCTGCTTCTACCACCCAACCCCAGGGACAGTGCAGGTTTAGTTGCCTGCATCAGGCTCAGACCATTCCACACATGGGAACCAGTGCCGGAAAGTTTACGTCTACCCCTGGCACACCCTGGCATGAGGAATTCTCCTTGTTGGCAGCCTAGATCCTTTCTGTTCTGACCTAAGTGGACATGGAAATCGGCTCATCACTTCATAGTTAAGAATGCTTCTAAAACCAATGTTGCTGGTGAGCTGAGAGGGTGTGGCTCACACCTGTTCAAATGACAGGGTGCTAAGACCCAAAGCGGCACACCGTGGCCCCTCCGTCCCTCTGAGGCCCACCCCATTCCATTCCAGCCTGGCCCTGACCTAAGGAGGGAGGAAGCTCCCTCACCCCTGCTTTCATTCCCCCGGCACCAAGTCCTGCAGCTGATGGGCCAGAGGGCGCAAAGTTAGCCCCACTCAGGACACCCTGTCCCGGGAGGAAATGAGAACGCTAGGTGTCTTCCTGGCGACTGCAACCTGCCTCGAGGTGTAGTCAGATCACAAAAGCAGGCCACCCCCTGAACCCCCTTCCAGGGTGCCCGGCCCAGCTGCATACAGCAGAACCCCAAGTAGAGGGACCCCAGCCTTGTGACCATGTGACACACCAGATCCTGGCACCAGAAGCTCAGAGCTCCCACGCGCTCAACGAGGCCAGCCCGAGGGCAAACACCGAAAGGAAAACACCTGGAGGGGAAGGGTTAAAAGCTCCTCTCCCCGACAAGGGTGCTCATCCTCTGCAAACAGCTCAAGCCCATTTTGCTGGGTGTAGGTTTTCCCAGTAAATCCAGGTCCTGCGGTGATTTACCGAGAGCCTTGGTTACTGGCAACAGCGATCTCACTTACCCACAGCAGCCCTGAGAACAAGCCATAATTTACAGCTGGATTTACGGCGTTTGTTCTACAGCAACAAACCCAGCAAATCATAAATTCCCTCTGAGATGAAGAGAGGAAATTGACAATATTTATGAACTCGAGAGGCGGAGGAGGGCCTGGCCAGGCCTTTGATTTGTAACTGAAACTTCTCCTGGAGGCTCCAGCCAAGGACACGGTGCTGCCCCAGCCCCAGGGAGCTGGACAGGATGAGGGCGGAGGAGGTCGTGGGCCAGGCAGGGTTCCAGCCTCACCGTGGGGATGCTCTGTGGGCGCTAAAGACAGGACATTGCTCTGTGCTCATCAGGACACACAGCAACGAGGCAGAAACGGTTCTCAGATCCTAAGCTCTCACATCAAGGCAAGACCCATTTGCGACACGCCGTGGTTTACTGGTTGGGACCTCTGTCTACATTCTCATACATTCCCAGGTATGCTGGGAGCTTTGAATGTGCACCTCAGCCTGTGTACTACACAGTACACTGTGTAGTCAGCCAGATGCACTACATACCACCTTCAAGTCATCTACAAAGGGAATGGGGAACAGAAGTCTCTGCACCCCAAATTCTACCTAATGTTCAAGAACCAAGATGTGATACAGCAAAGCCCGTGGGGAACTGGGGAGCCTTTCCCGATGTCTCTCCCATAGCTCCTCCTCTTTTCTTTTCATTCCTCCCCAACCCCTCCCGTTTCACCCCCACCCCTCACACCAAATCACTCCCACCTGAAGCTCTGGCCCCAAACAGTTTTACTAAAAGGCAACGCTCACCCATGTCCCCCTCAGAAAGCCAGTGGGACCCCAGCCTGACGCCTGTGCCAGGCCCACCCGCCCGTCGGCTGTGTCCTCTCCAACAGGCTTGCCCACCGTCTCACCAGCACCTCCTGGTCCCCATACAAGCCACACCCACTGCTACCGTCTCTACCACTAAGACAGTTTTGACAGCTCTTCCCAACTCCTTCCTGGCAATCCTGACCCATTTCCCTTCAACACCTTGTTGGCTCACTCACGTGGGTGCTGAGTGACCTTGGGTGAGTCGTTTACGTCACGTGTACTAAAGGAGGCAAGACTACCTCATCTCCACGTCTCTACTTCTCCCCATCAAGGACACAGGTGGATGTGACATGGAAAAGCTGCCAACCAAGAACCTCAGAGGCCCTGGGCGGCCCCCAGCGCCCGAGGCTGCCTCCGGGAACCCGAACAGCGCCTTTCACCGCTCTGCTGAGTCCCGAGCAGGAAGGTGGGCCCAGCCTCGGCCGGCACCAAGGAGGGAGCCAGCTGCCCACAGAGCCCAGCAGGGGCCCCAGCAGGAGGCTCACCCAGACTCTCAATCACTGCGTCCAGCGCAGACACGGCGGCGGCGTAAACCCCCGAGTTCTTGGAGTTGAGGTTGTCTGCAATGGCGATGATGAGGGAGAGCAGCATGGGGCGCAAGCTCTCTCCGAGGAGGGGAACCATCTTGGTGAAGGCCTCCAGCGCCCACTGGTTCACTTTCCTGTTGGAATCCTGAAGCCTCGGCGTGAAAGCATCAAAAACCTGTCGAGGGAACAGAAACCAAGAGCCCGTGGGAACCCGAGCTGGGCAGGAGTCCCACACCCCGACCAAGCACCCTTAGCAGGGATGCTCCCTGCATCCCTGCCAGGGGCATCCAGCCTACGCCAGAACATTCTCCGTGGTTAGGAGTTCACCTCCTCAAAGCGGGCAGGGGTGCGGGAAGGAAGAACCACTACATCCTGAGCACCCACTGTGTGCGAGCTTGGGAGCATCTCCGCGCTCTCCCTCCCTGGGATGATCTTAACAACCCACGAGGCATGTGTTCTCATCCTCACTTCACCACTAAAAACAAAACCAAAGCTGAGGCTGAAAGAGGGGAAACCCTTGCCCAGATCACAGAGCTAGAAAGAAATTTGAATGAAAACCCAGGTCCGCGGCCTTCATGCCTGTGTCTCAACTGCTCTGCTACGTGGCTTGAGCACCCGCAACCACGCTCCTGGAAGAATTGAGCACGTGTTCTGTTTTCCAGCCTGTGAAAGGCCGGTGCCCACTCCTCACCCATCCTGGCCCACTCGCCCGGCCAACTACATGCTCTGCCCCAAAATGTCATGCACACAGCTAGACCAGTAGTGGCCATGGCCACAGCATCCTTCCCTTCTGCCCTCCTCCCCACAAATCTCCAAGAGGGCTAAGAGATGCCAGGTAGGAGTCAGTGCCCTTACCCCCTTTAGCTACTTCCAAGTAGTGTTAGAGCGATACCAAGGCAACTGGATAGCAAATCCTTGTTGGGGTCTGGCACAATGTCTAACCTGTTCAGAGTTCTCCACATTGAAGTTGCCCCCTGGGGAGAGGCAGGTGGGAGGGCGGGGGGGGGGGCACGCTCACCTGGGCCAGGTTGGCGGCGATGAGCTCCGGCCTGGCCTTGCAGTGCTCAAGGAGCTGCCTCACGCCTTCCATCCGAGCCGGGGGGTCCTTGGCCTCCAGCAGCCGCGCCAGCTCTCGGAGCTGCTCCGCCAACTCCGAGCCACCCCACCTGGAAGAGCACAGCCCCACCAGCCTCGGGCCATTGGAGCGGAGCCTAAAAGGAAGGAGCATCTGACCTGGGCAGCCCCAGGGCATGGACATGCCGCTTATCCCAAGACCTTCCCACAGACAGGGGGGGCTTGGGAACTCAAGAAACCCCCTCTACCTGGGGGACAACAATAGGGTTGCCTAGAGCCCCGGGGCACAGGGCTCTCTCCCTGCCTTCCTTGTTCTCCTTTCAGAAGGCAGGTAAAGAACCGGAGAGAGCTTGGAGTGAGAACTGGAGTCCACAGAAGGATCACTGGGCACGTTTCATCTAAGAGTGGGGAAGATCTTGCCAGGTGCCTGAATCCTGACCCCCTGCTCAGTCCTCCAGTAACCAGGGGAATGTTAGGAACCCTTGTTCTCGTAGGCTGGGATCGCACGCCCACCATGCCCCCGGCCCACTCCAGCCAGCATGAGAGCAGCTCCACACGGAACTCCCAGCCCCCACCCCCGCTCCCCAAGCTCAGAGCGGGCCCTTGCGCTCACGCCTTAGGCCGGAGTCCCACCTGACAGAACCCAGCATCATTCATTCTGTCGTTAATTCCAGACCTGCTGGGCCCTGAACAATGAGATGTGAGCCCTGGGGCTCACAGACCCATGGGAGACAGGACAGCTAAGTGAGCAGACTGACAGGGGTCTGAAGAACGGGCGACCTGTCCACCCAGAGGACACGGGGCACAGACTGTCAGAGAAAGCTTCTGGGAGAAGGGGAATGTCGTGGCGTCTTGTGGAATAGGCACATTGTAGGTGCAGGTGGCCCCGCACAGGGCAGAGAACCAGCAGAAGCAAAGGCCGTAGAGAGAACAAGGAGGGGCCGGGAACAGGGCTGCTCTGTGTGGCCGCGGGGACGAGGCGAGGACAGATGACAGGATGTGCGGGAGAGAGCCGGAAGCTACTCTCCAGGAGGCGGGGGGCTCCCCTGGGTCCCTGCTAAGGGGTTCAGATGCAGGAGTGACCTTGGGAGTCCAGCTTGGTTTCGAAGCCCCCCAGCAGCCGCCCTCCAGCCCTTCGGCCCATTCCTCCTCGTCCTCCGTTGTCCCAGCTCTGCCTGTAAATGAGCGCCAGGCCCGCCCCGTGGGGGGATCTGCTGCTCTGGGTGAATGAGAAACACACAGCCACACGGCGGCCTGCCCCACACATGCTCCACCAACGCTAGTGGAGCTGCAGCCCTCAGCCAAGAACGCAGGAGCCACTTCCGCTGGCAGGGGCCCCTGGCCCAGGACGGGTCTCCCGAGCTTGGGGCGGGCATACGTCCACACTCCCTCCCAGAGCCACCCAGCTGCCTCCATCAGTCTTGGAGGTGGAGCCCCAGAGAGACAAGAGCAGCCGTACCCGCCCTCACCGGGCAGCCCGTTCTCCCACAGTGCCAGACTCCTGGACACCTTGCGGCCTTTGGCAGATGGCAGTTCATCACTATCTTCTAGTCCCTTGAAAAGACAAACAGAACTTGAAGCAAAAGGAGCAGCCTCTGGGGAAGGGCCAGGAACTCCAGCCCGACCATCACCTCCCCCACCTGGAAGGGCCCCCAGGATGCAGCTGTGCCTTCCAGAGCTGGTCGTTGGAGCCCAGATCCCCATTTCACAGATGGAGACGTGGAGGCCCAGGGAGGCTCAAAGGACACAGGCAGTGAGGGGCAGGACCAGGCTGAGCAAATGCAAGGGAATCACACTCACCTCGCCCGGCAGGGCTCACGGGTGAAATGCAAGACTCAGGAGTGCAGCCCCGCCCCTGGCCCTGACGGGCATGAGGCCGCCAGGCTCAGCTCTGGTCCCCGCCCACTACCCGCTCACACCCACCAACTCACCCGCTGTCTGATGGCCGCCATGACCTTCCGCAGGTCGTGGGATGGGAGGGACTGTTTCAGAAATGCGTCAAACTTCGTGTTCGACATCAAGGTGGTCACCATCTTCCGCCCATAAAACCTGCCGTGGGAAGAAGGGCCAGGTGAAGAATCAGCCACAGAAATGCAGCACAAATCTGTTTACGACTTCACATGGTTTTCTAATTACAGTAAGGGAGGTCTTAACACAGTCTCTAATTATGGCAAGAATCCCTGCCCAGTTAAAAACTAGATTCATAAAAAAATAAACACCATTCACACTCTCACTACAGGGAAAACCACTATTACATTTTTACATGTTTTCTTATAGTTTTTTCCATATATATACATTTAGTTGAGATCAGAATGTATATACAACTTGTATCCAGCTTTTTTCATGTTACCATTTCTCATCTTACTGTGTCACCCTTTTTTTTTTTTTTTTCTAATCCTCACCCGAGGACATTTTTCCACTTTTTTTCAGGTAGAGTGGGAGGGAGAGAGAGGAACAGAGAGCGAGAGAAACATCGATGTGAAAGGAACACATCGAGTGGCTGCCACCCGCACAACCGACCAGGGCCGGGGACAAACTGCAACCGAGGTACGTGCCCTTAGCGGGAACCGAACCCAGGTCTCTCAGGACCGCAGGGTGACGCTCTAACCGCTGAGCCAAACCGGCCAGGGCTGTGTCACCCTTTTTAATGGCTACATAGTATTTCGTTGGGTGGCTATACCAAAATGTGCATAACTTTTTTCTAGTATGGGATATTTAGAAGTCTGAGGAAGGGCCCGGCTGGTATGGCTCAGTGGTTGAGCGTCAACCCATGCACCAAGAGGTTACCGGTTTGATTCCCGGTCAGGGCACATGCCCAGGTTGTAGGCCTGATCCCCAGTGTGGGGCATGCAGGAAGTGGCCAATCGATGTTCTCTCTCATTGATGTTTCTATCTCTCCCTCTCCCTTCCTCTCTCTCTAAATTCAGTAAAGAAAAAAAAAATTTTTTTTAAGTCTGAGGAAGGTTGCAGTGGGGTGGTACTCGAGAGAGTGGTCAACTCTACCTGGTGAATAGTGGTGGGTGGGGAAGGAAATCAAGGAGGACTTCATAGAAGAGGTGACCCTTGGGATGGGACTCAAAAGATGAGTAAGGGTTCACAAATGGGACGGGATTGGGGAGTAGGGAGGAGGGGAACATTCTAGGGTCCATAAGACAGGCTGGCCCATCAGCAGACGTGTACCTGGAGAAAGGAAGGCAGTGGCTGGACTCGGGAACAGAATAGGATGGAGAAGAAGGTAGGACCAGTTTAGAGAGATGGGAAAGAGTTGGGCTTTAGCCCACAGGCAGTGGGAAGCTGAGGAATGATCTGATTTGCACATTGATCAAAATGTCTCTGGCAGCAGAGTGGAGAATGAATCTTTGGGGATAAGTCTGGGGCCAGGAGACCTATTTAAGGGGCCACCATAATAACCCAGGCAAGAGATGATAAAGGATTGAAGCAAGGCAGTAGAGTGGAATAAGAAGGGATGATCAGATTCAAGAGCTGCTAAAGAAGTTGAAACTGCAGGACTTGGTAGTTGATTGGAGACAGAGCTTGAAACATTGAAAATGGTCATATTTTGCTCAACTAAAGACAATATGGATTGTAAAATGCACCATTAATTTATTTTCCACTGAGGAAAAAGAGAAAACTCTGGCAACGCCCACTGCCTGCCACGACACTGCCTCAGGGGTGAAGACAACCCTTCCATGTGTGACTGCAGAAACAGAAGGTAGCATTACTTGAGGGTAGTATCCTTCCTTAGGTTGGGTAAAGTACTTGCTGGTTGCTTTGCAAGAAAATGCAGAATTTTGGTCATTCCTTCAAAGGTGAATTTGCATTAATATCTAATTTATACCCCATCACTCCATTTCCATGCCTTTTCTCGTATGCAATAATTTTCATTTCAATGCTGAGTTATAGTGTAAGGTTTCTAAGACATTTTAAACAGTAATTAAATTCAACAATTCCCCACAGAGCATCCACAGTGACTTCTTAAAATAAATATGAAAGGCTAACAAGGAAAGAAAAGTTCATAGTGGAGTTCCTACAGTGCAGAATTTAATTCAAAGGTTATACCATGAGCAACAATGACCAAGCTTGCAAAGGTGCAGATAGTAAAACCTCAGTCATAATTGCTCCCTGGTCAATAACTGGGAGATGCCTTTGATTGGAAGATATTAAAATGCAGGGCAGAAATGAGTCTGAGAATCAGTGAAGTATGAAATTCCCCTGCTGCGTCCTAGATGGCTCTGTAAACAACAGTGACTTTTAACAATAGAGGGAACACAGCCAAAGAAGCAGGCTTTGGGGAGAAGGCAATGAGTTCATTCAGAGACACTTTGCCCTGAAGGTGACAACTGGACATCCTGGCAATGGGTCTGATGGAAGCATCAGAGATAAGGGACTGAGGGTGTGGGCTGGAGCCACCGGAAGTGATGACACCATTCAGGGAAAGTCGAAAGAGGGGGACAAGAAGACTTCCGGTCAAGATGGTGTGTAGGTAAACACAGTGTCGCGTCCTCCCACAACCACATCAAAGTTACAACTAAACTACAGAACAGCCATCATTCAAAACCTCCTGAAATCAAGCTGAAGGGAAGTCCTACAACTACGAAATTAAAGAAAAAGCCTCATCGACATTGGTAGGAGGCGTGACAGGCTGGTCTCACACCCACGTGTGGTAGATAAAAATTAGGATACCTCGGCTGGGAAGGTCCTCCCTGAGGACTGAGGGGTCCCCATCCCATACCAGGCACCCAGTTCAGGGATCCAGGACCAGAAAAAGAAGTCTCCATAACTTCTGGCTGGAAAAACCAGCGGGAACTGAAGCTGAGGGAGGCTGAGGCAGCTGGAGCCCCAGGCAGCTGCTCTTAAAGGGCCTGCACACAGCCTTACTCGAAGGGCCTGCACACAGACTTACTCGAACTCGCACCCTCCAGGTTCTAGCATTGGGGAGGCAGCTTGAAAGGCACCAGAGACATATGGGGCAGAACCGAGCTGTTTGGCATTGGAGCGGGTGCTGGAGAGGGGGCTTTCTCCTGGACAAACATGCTATCAGAGGCCCTTGTTCCTTTGGTGAGCCCTTCCCTGGGGTGGCAGACAGCCGCCATATCTGGGACTCCAGCAACCTGGCTCACACTGGTAGCCCCGCCCTGGTGACTCCCTGAGGCCCCGCCCCACCCAACTTTCAGGCCCACTCAAGCTGTTGCCAGTTGCTTAACCATAGGATTGGCCTGTCTTGGATCCTGCTTCAGGTTTTCCTAAATTCTTTCAAACAAGCAGCATCTGGTCTCAGCTAGCCCCATACCTCTTGTTAAGTAATACATAAAAACAAACACAGGGAGGCAGCCAAAATGAGAAGATGAAGAAATAGGTTGCAAAGGAAGGAACAGAACAAAACTCCAGGAAAAAAACTAAGCAAAATGAAGATAAGCAACCTAACAGATGCTGAGTTCAAAATATTGCTTATAAGGATGCTCAATGAACTTAGTGAGGGCCTCAGTGAACTTAGTGAGTGCCTCAAAAGCATAAAAAGGATCAGTCATAAATGAAGGATGCACAGTCAGAAATAAAGGAGACTGAAATAAAGAATAATTTACACAAATTCAATTGTAGAGTAGGTAAAGCCAAGAAGCAAACCATTGATTTGGAATATAAGGAAGCAAAAAAAAACACCCAATCAGAACAGCAAAAAGAAAAAAGAATCCAAAAGAATGAGGACAGTGTAAGAAGCCTCTGGGACAACTTTAACATGCTAACATTCGCATCTTGGGGGTGCCAGAAAAAGAGAGAGAACAAGAAATGAAAAACCTATTTGAAACAATAATGACAGAAAACTTCCCTAACTTGGTGAAGGAAACAGACATACAAGTCCAGGAAGCACAGAGAGTCCCAAACAAGATGAACTCCAAAAGGCCCACACCAAGACACATCATCATCAAAATGCAAAAGGTTCAAGACAAAGAGAGAATCTTAACAGCAGCAAGAGAAAAGCAGTTAGTTACCTACAAGGGAGTTCCCATAAGACTGTCAGCTGATTTCTCAAAAGAAACTTTGCAGGCCAGAAGAGAGTGTCAAGAAATATTCAGACTGATGAAAAGCAAGAACCTATAACCAAGATTGCTCTGTCTTACAAAGCTGTCATTTAGAATCAATAGCCATATAGTTTCCCAAACAAGAAAAAGCTAAAGAAGTTCATCACCATCAAACCACTATTATATGAAATGTTGAAGGGTCTTCTTGAAGAAAAAGATAAAAAATATAAACAAACAAAATGGCAATGAATACATATCTATTGACAATTGAATCTACAAACAAAATGAACAGGCAGAACAGAAACATTCTCATAGATACAGAGAACATTTTGTTGGTTGCCAGCTGGGAGGGGGGTTGGGAGAATGGGTGAAAAAGGTGAAGGGATTAAGAAGCACAAATTGGTTGTTAGACTGACAAACTTCAAAGGGAAAGGGGGGTGGGAGGAGGGAAGAGAGAAACCAAAGAACTTATATGTATCTATGCATAACTAATGGACCCAGACAACAGTGTGGGGAAAGGCAGGAGGGAGGCGGCAGTGGGGAGGAGGGGGTCAATAGGGGAAAAATGAGGAACATCTGTAATACATTCAACAATAAAGATAAATTTTAAAAAAAGAAAGAGGGGACAAGGACTAGAGGCACTCCTGTGGCCACCTACACACAGAGGGCGGGGCGGGGGGGAAATAGCCACAGAAGGACGAGAACCAGCACCATAGAAACTGAGAAGCTTAAAGTTCCAGGAAGGAGCATGAAGTGTCAACATCATCCAATGTAAGAAGAGGTCAGATGGAGAAGGTATTAGATCTGGAGAGATGTGGGACTTTGATTTCCATCCTCCACCAACAATTAAAACCAGCCAACCAAAACCTTCTTCCTCCCTGACAATACTGCTCATTTCAGTAAAAGGGAATGAGCAAGTTGTTCAGTTTACAAACCTAAATGGCATCTTTGTTCCCTCCTTGAAAGCCTCACCACCCATCTCCTGTTGGCTCTGCCTTCCAAACATACCCAAGTCCACCTCTCCTCCTGTGGCCAGTCTCTAGCACCTCACATCTGAACGCCAGGGTAGCCATCAGTCTGTGCCCACCTACACCCTGCCTCCACTCCCCCACTACCAATCCTCCAGTGAGCAGCCGGAGAGGGATTTTTTTGTTTTGTTTTTTGTTTTTATAAAAGGCTAGCAAGCATATAAAGAAACACTCAAACTAGTAATCAGGGGGAAAGCACTGTGAAACAATGAACTGGCATTTTACCCATTAGATCAATAAAAGTTAAAGATCCAGATATTGCACAGTGTGAGGATGTAGACGCATCTTGGGCACTGCAGGAGGGGGGCAGAGGGAGCAGCATGCAGGAGGGGGCAGAGGGAGCAGCATGCAGGAGGGGGGCAGAGGGAGCAGCATGCAGGAGGGGGGCAGAGGGAGAGCATGCAGGAGGGGGCAGAGGGAGCAGCATGCAGGAGGGGGGCAGAGGGAGAGCATGCAGGAGGGGGGCAGAGGGAGCAGCATGCAGGAGGGGGGCAGAGGGAGCAGCATGCAGGAGGGGGCAGAGGGAGAGCATGCAGGAGGGGGACAGAGGGAGCATCATGCAGGAGGGGGGAAGAGGGAGCAGCATGCAGGAGGGGGGCAGAGGGAGAGCATGCAGAGGGGGACAGAGGGAGCAGCATGCAGGCAGGGGGAAGAGGGAGCAGCATGCAGGAGGGGGGCAGAGAGAGAGCATGCAGGAGGGGGACAGAGGGAGCAGCATGCAGGAGGGGGGCAGAGGGAGCAGCATGCAGGAGGGGGGCAGAGGGAGCAGCATGCAGGAGGGGGGCAGAGGGAGAGCATGCAGGAGGGAGGCAGAGAGAGAGCATGCAGGAGGGGGGCAGAGGGAGCAGCATGCAGGAGGGGGGCAGAGGGAGCAGCATGCAGGAGGGGGACAGAGGGAGCAGCATGCAGGAGGGGGACAGAGGGAGCAGCATGCAGGAGGGGGCAGAGGGAGCAGCATGCAGGAGGGGGACAGAGGGAGCAGCATGCAGGAGGGGGACAGAGGGAGCAGCATGCAGGAGGGGGACAGAGGGAGCAGCATGCAGGAGGGGGACAGAGGGAGCAGCATGCAGGAGGGGGCAGAGGGAGAGCATGCAGGAGGGGGGCAGAGGGAGAGCATGCAGGAGGGAGGCAGAGGGAGAGCATGCAGGAGGGGGCAGAGGGAGAGCATGCAGGAGGGGGCAGAGGGAGCAGCATGCAGGAGGGAGGCAGAGAGAGAGCATGCAGGAGGGGGCAGAGGGAGAGCATGCAGGAGGGGGCAGAGGGAGCAGCATGCAGGAGGGGGCAGAGAGAGAGCATGCAGGAGGGAGGCAGAGAGAGAGCATGCAGGAGGGAGGCAGAGGGAGAGCATGCAGGAGGGGGGCAGAGGGAGAGCATGCAGGAGGGAGGCAGAGGGAGAGCATGCAGGAGGGAGGCAGAGAGAGAGCATGCAGGAGGGGGCAGAGGGAGAGCATGCAGGAGGGAGGCAGAGGGAGAGCATGCAGGAGGGGGGCAGAGGGAGAGCATGCAGGAGGGGGCAGAGAGAGAGCATGCAGGAGGGAGGCAGAGAGAGAGCATGCAGGAGGGGGCAGAGGGAGAGCATGCAGGAGGGGGCAGAGGGAGCAGCATGCAGGAGGGGGGCAGAGGGAGAGCATGCAGGAGGGGGCAGAGGGAGAGCATGCAGGAGGGGGCAGAGGGAGCAGCATGCAGGAGGGAGGCAGAGAGAGAGCATGCAGGAGGGAGGCAGAGGGAGAGCATGCAGGAGGGGGGCAGAGAGAGAGCATGCAGGAGGGAGGCAGAGGGAGAGCATGCAGGAGGGGGGCAGAGGGAGCAGCATGCAGGAGGGAGGCAGAGAGAGAGCATGCAGAGGGAGGCAGAGGGAGAGCATGCAGGAGGGGGGCAGAGAGAGAGCATGCAGGAGGGAGGCAGAGGGAGAGCATGCAGGAGGGGGCAGAGGGAGCAGCATGCAGGAGGGGGCAGAGGGAGCAGCATGCAGGAGGGAGGCAGAGGGAGAGCATGCAGGAGGGGGGCAGAGGGAGAGCATGCAGGAGGGGGGCAGAGGGAGAGCATGCAGGAGGGGGCAGAGGGAGCAGCATGCAGGAGGGGGCAGAGGGAGCAGCATGCAGGAGGGGGCAGAGGGAGAGCATGCAGGAGGGAGGCAGAGGGAGAGCATGCAGGAGGGGGCAGAGGGAGAGCATGCAGGAGGGAGGCAGAGGGAGAGCATGCAGGAGGGGGCAGAGGGAGAGCATGCAGGAGGGGGACAGAGGGAGCAGCATGCAGGAGGGGGCAGAGGGAGCAGCATGCAGGAGGGGGGAAGAGAGAGGGCATGCAGGAGAGCTCCTTGCAATGCTTGGGCTGCCTAGGTGGACACATGTCCCTGACCACAGTCCTGCTCCTGGGCACATTCCCAGAGTTGTTCTCCCTAAACTTTGTATGGGGCACTGCTGAGGATATAGGTGCAGCCCTGTCCAGAGGGTGGCAGGAATATCACGCACTGCGTCCTCCAGGGTGGGCCCTCAGGCGGTACCGTGAATGTGCCTGCCTGGAACGCAGCCCAGAACCAGAGTGGACGGTCCCTGGGGTTGTGCAAGGCCAGGCGCGGTCTGCAGATGAGGTGGTAGCAGGCCGTGAACTCAGAAATGGGATTAACCTGACACTAACCCTGGGCTTTAGACAGTCAACCAGGACCCGCCACTCTCCTGCTTAATTTCATCTAATAGCACCTCATGCTTCTACTAAAACATCACACCTGAACCAAAATCCCTCTCCTGGCCACGGCCTGTGAGGCCCTCCGTGGCCTGGCCCTGCCCTGCCCTCATCACCCAGCCTGGCCCTGGTCTTCCTTGAACACCAAGCTTATTCCCACGCAGGGGCCTTTGCACCATTTCCTTTGCCTGGGTCACTCACAGCCCAGACCCTCAGAGAGCTGAGTTCTCAACTCAAACATCACTCCTTACAAAGGTCTGCCCGACTCTGTCTGTCGTAACCCCCACCCCAGTCACATTCCATCCTGTTTGCTCCTCTATGTCCCTTATCTGTGTCTAAAATTAGCATAGCTATTTATTTGTGTATTGTTCGTCTACCGCACTAGGAGGCAATCTCTAAGACAGCAGAGCCCTAATTCTTGCCCACTGTCATATTCGTAGTAATGAAAAGAGTGCTCATTAACTATCTCTTGAAGAATGACTAGTCTCTACAGAGAGTGGAGCCCGGTGGGGAGCAGGACCGCAGCGGCCGAGGGAGAAGGGGGGGTGGAAAGTGCAGGTGGGATCCTGCCCGTCCCCGAGCAGGCCTGGCCATGACACTGGGGAGAGACGGGGCGCTTGTGAGGAGAGGACACAGATCTGTCCATCCAGCTGTCCCCACATGATGCCAGGGGAGCGGAGCTGTGTGGGCCAGGGCTGGCTGGTTGCCTCATCTGCCCCGGACCAGCCAGGTCGGTGTCCCCAGGCCCCTGGCCCTGCGTCACCTGGTGTCCTGGTTGGAGTCCTGGGCCAGCCTCGCCAGGTTGTGCAGCAGCATGTCTGTACTGTCCCTGGTGCCCGACAGAAGCTTCTCAGCGCCTATCTGCTCCAGGACAGCCGAGAGGTGCTGGGCAGTGCATTTCCGGACTAGGGGGTTTCTGTGGCTGAGAGAAATTCAAGGGTCCAGTCAAGGAATGGGACATGGGGGGCCCCAGACTGGCACCCACAGACCTACAATGGTGCCTCCATGCCCCATGCTGTGATGGGCCCCCAATTCTGTCCCAGGGGGGCTAAGGGGATCTATAAGGAAAGCGCGGAGCCTTGGGATGGGGGAACTGAGGACAACAGCCAGAGTGGGACGGGGAGAACAGGCAGAGCCACAGGAGTCCCCCAGACACTCCTGTGCCCACGTGCTCGGCGCCTGCCTGAGCCTCAGTCTGCCTCCGGCCAAATGCTCCCCCTCCTCTTCCTCCCCCTAGGAGGACCCTGCCCAATCAGCCTCTCTGCCTTCCAGCACCCCCCCCCCCAGACCTAGACGCCCTCGGGCCTAGCACTGTCCCTGTCCCCGGTCCACTGGGAAGTACAGGTGCAGCCCCCAGGGCGTGGGAACTAGTCTTCCTCTCAGTTGACCCCCAGCGCCTGCTGGTGCCTGGCATGTGCCAACCCTTAGTGGAAGCTTCCTGAACACCTGTTGAGCTGAACCGAGACAGGAGGGAAGGACGGGGTTGACGGGCGGTTTGGTAGCCCTATAGGACCCTGAGACCCTACAGGAGAACCCATCAGGATGTTACCTCTTTCTTTTTCACCTGTCAAGCAGGGTCTGTGTCCACAGCACTAGCCTTTCCCCTGCCCCTCCAGGTCCCCCCGGGTGGAAACCACAAAAAACCTCTGGGCTCTCCCTCATCAGCGTGGTCAGGCACTAGCACCATTAGCACCTGAATCAGAATCTGCCTGGTAGCAAGACCCCCAGGAATTCGAGGGTCCCCTGAGGACCGAACCCTGGTTCCCGCAACAATGATCAGTTATCTCAGATTGCAGTGAGGGTACCCTCTGTGCCAGGCACCCTACTGAGCCCCCTTTAAACCATTATCTCCTCAGCTCCACCAGCTGCTGTTATCATCATCCCGCAGGCGAGGAAGCTGGGACAAAGGGAGAATCCAGGAGAAGGTACAATCAGTTTCTCCCAAGGTAGTCGTAGCCGCAGACAGTGCTTGACACGTGTCAGGTGGAGGCAGGCCCTGTCTGTGCTCTTCCGTGACCGACGCCTTCACTCCTCACAGCAGTTGTATTACTCTCCCACTTTACAGAGGAGGAGACGGAGGCACCGGAAGGTAAATGACCTGGATGTGGGGCCGGCAGCACGGCTGGGCCCTCCCCTCGGCCTGGGCTGTGTGGCAGAGGCCTGCCGAGAGGCCTCCCTGCAGAAGTGCAGTGACGGGCTCCTGGCTGAAAGCTGTTTTGCTTGAGAAATGCTTTTGGTTTCAGTTTGGGTTTTGAAATCAGGCCCTTTCCTCCTCCCCAGCAGAGGGCCAAGCAGTGCCGCCAAAGGATACGACTGCCTCGCTCTCCCGAGGGCCCAGACTCCATCAGGAATGTCGCCCCTGGTACAGGGCTGCCTCCGCAGGCCCGTCTCGGGGTGCTGCCACGCCACCAGGAGCTCCTCGGCTTTGAACAGGACAGAGCACCGCCCCCCTTGCAGCCAGGGCTCAGGGCTCCCCTGAGCTCCTCCCATCACCTGGCTCCAGCAAGGGGGGACAGCAGCCCCGCCCTGGGAGCTCCCCGATAAATGTGCTAAGCACTCCCTCCATCCCCCTCCCTTCCCTCAGAGCTTCCCCCTCCCCTCCCCTTTCGGGACACCCCACCCCTCAGACAACTGGCTGCCACATACTAGATGCCGGCTGAGGTGAGGGCCACCAGGGACCGGGCTGGGGTCACATGCTCCACCATGGCCCCCAGGGACCGGTTGGCGGCTCTCTGGATGAACTCGCAGGTGTTGCCCATCTTCTGCAGCAAACAGCGGGCAATCTCTTTCGCCTCCTGGTCCATATTCTTCTTCAAGGCTCGGAAGAGGTGTCCCAGGGTTCTGATGGCCAAGCGGGACACCTTGGAGCGGAGGTTGGTGACCTTGGGGAGAGATGGGAGAGGGACCAGCACCGCTGGATGCTTTCGAGGACTCCAGAACTAGCAAGAAGGGGTGCTGCCCCACCCCCTCCCCCCGCCTCCACCCTCGGCCTCCCTGGGCTGGGAACAAAAGCCCCGCACAGCTCAGGACAAAATAGTTCTGTTTTTAAAAACATTATTACTGTTGTTATCATCATAGTTACTAGTTCCATCCTTATCACCTGAGATTTGCACAAGAGAGTTCCAAGCATTTTTACAAATGATGTTCAATTTGATCTTCACTAGGCCCCCCACCAGAACAGCTGTTCCCAAGGGGCGGGGCATGGCCTTCGTCCCTGATGAGATGCATCTGACCGCCAGCGACCAGCGCCAGCCAGCCCTCTGGGAGACAGGGCTTGGGAAATGCTACGACTGCCTGGAGTTGGAGCCTGGCCCAGAACATCCATCCCTCCTCTGGCAAGGTTGTGACATAGAAATAAGGGAACCTCGGGCCTCAGTTGTCCAATCTGAGAAATGGGTGGCTACCTCCCAGCTCTGTGGCTGAGAAATTAGTGGGGGATGGCCCTGTTCCAAGGAGTCATGGGCTCCTCTGTGGCTGTTAGGGGACCCACTTTGAACAGCCGCCCCGGGGTCCTGGCTGCGGCTGGGCAGGGTGTGCAACACAGGCTGTCGGGGAGGCCTCACCTCCCCAGTCACGGCCAAGGACACGTCGTGCAGCCTCCCAGCGAGGACGTCCGAGTGGCAGGCTGCCAGGCGCTGGACATTCAGCAGGCCCTTCTCCTTCTTGTGCCTGACAAGCAAGTCCAGCCCTGTCACAGGCAGGTGGGGAGGGAGGAGCCCACTCCCTCTGCATACCAGGGGCACCTATATCACCCCACTTCTTGTCACAGCAGGGTGGGATTTGATGGCCCAAAGGCAGGGTTTCCTGCTGTGACACCCAGGATGAAATCTTAGCCGTCCAGTAGAAGCCACGTTATGGGGCCCCTGGCTCAGCCTCACCCGAGGGAGGCCCACCCCCAGGACCTGGACCACACCTGACCCAGCTGGTGCCTTTGAGAGAAGGTACTTGACCATGAGGACCAAAGACGAGAGGGCTTCCCACAGACGTGACCCCACGTCACAGCACTGCTCACGGCTAAGAATGCGTGTCCACCAGTACAGTGGTAGGAACACAGGAGCAGATTGAACTTGACTTAGAGAAATGATGGGCTGTGGCCTTTCTAAGGCCCCTAAAGGAGTGTTGTGGAGCCGCATGATGCTGGCTCTGGTCCACAGAGCAGTACGTGGGCTGCTGCAGGTCCCAGGGCAGACGCAGGAGGCTGGACACACACACACACACACACACACACACACACACACACACCCTTCCATGGGACCAGGCTCTAGTGGGGGGATAGGAGGGCAGCCAGGGGCAGGAGCTACTCTGCGACTCTCCGCTGGCCACCGCGCACGAAGAGGAAGGTGTCACCTCACCAGTCACTGCTGTCCAGGCACTGCAGGGCATCCATCAACCCCAGCTCTGGGTTCGAGAAAGGCCTCAACTCCTTAAAGGCTTGAAGATCCATCTCCTCCTCCTCTTCTTCCCACTCAGGGGACCCCAGAGTTAGCACCGCAGGTAATGAGTTAGCTGCATTCACAGAAAAGGAAAGACACTCGGAGCTTTTCACCAAAGGGACCCGAGCTTGGCCCGCAGTCCTGAGCCCCACTTCTGGGGGCCCTAAGAAGCCAGCGCTGGGCTCCGCTCCCTGGGGAGACACTCAGACTTCCAAACTCTGCCTTTTGTTGCCTTTTCCATTCCTGCCTTTGCCAATCGGATTCTTGTAAACAAACTGGCTCCTTGATGCCATGTGAGAAACCCCCTCCGCCAGTGGTGCACCCCAGCCCGGCCTGTCTGGTTGGGGTGAGGGCAGTGAGTCCATCCGGGAACGACCCCTACTCACTGTGGCGCTCCAACCTCGCACCCACCCAGGAAAGTGTATCCGCCCCCCCCATCCCCCCTCTCTCTGTCCTGTGCAGTTGCCCAAGGGCAGGGAAGTGAGCCAAGGCACCAGCCAGAGGAAGCCGGGACAATGAAAGCAGCCAGGCACCTGCATGGCCGAGATGTGGCCACACTCGCAGGGACTGACAAGAAGCAGGGATGTTGTTTAAAAATCAGGTCATGTTTTCTAGGCTCTCCTTACTCAGGGACAGATGCTAGAATCATAAAATCCTACAACAGAAAGGCAGTTTGGAGGCTCTCTCTCTCATCCAATGCTCGGATCACACAGCTGGGGCATCAGAGCCTAGAGAAGCCAGCTCTCCCAGCCCCTCCCCCCTCCCCCCTCCCCCCTTCCCCCTCCCCCCTCCCCGGACAACAGGCCCTCAGCTCCTGCGCCCGCAGAGCCAGGACAGGAAGGTCCCGGACCCAGAGCTCTCGCCGCCACCTCGCTTGGTCTCATCTGGCACGCTCTCCACTCTGCATACCCAGGAGGCCCGGGCCAGTCTGAGCTGAGGGGCTCCCTTCACTTAAAGCCGAACACCGAGACCTCACTCCCATATTCTCTGCTCAGCTCTGCACTGACACAAGGGTCACCAGCCAGTCTTAGTACCTACAGGCCACTAGCACCTTGAGTAACCTTGGATGATCTTGAGTCTTTGGGTCTCAGTTCTGTTGTACAAAATGAGTGGGGTGGGTTAAACAGATCAATATTTCCCAAGTATCTAACATTTAATTACCACTTTCGTAGGGTTTTGGATGTTGTGTTTTTGGTGTTTTGGAGGCTTTTTTTTTTTTTTTTGGTCATATCTCTTAATTACCTATACTTTTATGTGGCATTTTTCTTCAATTTAAGCCACTTTTCAAATCTCACATAAGTTTATTTTACAAGAAAATTTATGTCACTACCATAATTGGTAAACCAATATTATTTGTCATAAAATATGGTAAATGTTCACAGTAAAACTAAAAGAATGTTATAAACTAGCTATAAAATAGCAGCCAGCTGTTAATGTCTCACGCCTAAAGGAAGATCTGTTTTTCTTATTTATTTATTTATTCATTGATTCATTAGATAGAGTGAAAAAGGAGGAAGGGAGAGAGAGAGAGAGAAACATCAAAACATTTGGTTGCCTTTCTCGCGACCCCACCTGGGGCCGGAGATCAAACCTACAACCCAGCCCAGCTGGCGTGGCTCAGTGGTTGAGCATCGACCCATATACCAAGAGGTCGCGGGTTTGATTCCCAGTCAAGGCACATGCCCAGGTTGTGGGCCTGATCCCCAGTAGGGGGCGTGCAAGAGGCGGCCAATGGATGTTCTCTCTCATCCATGTTTCTATCTCTCCCTCTCATTTCCTCTCTCTCTAAAATTAATAAAGAAAAAAAAAAAACCAGGTACATGCCCTTGACCAGAATCTAACACACAACCCTTCGCTCTGCAGGCCGACACTCTAACCACTGAGCCAAACCGGCCAGGGCAAGATCTCTGTTTTAAAAGGATTTCTGCAGGTCTTAAAGACATGCTAAAGATCAGCACCAAAGGAAGGCTTTCTGCGTGACACGTCAAAGAGCTGGGAGGAGAAGGGAAAAGGCAGTGAGCCCATGTTTTCCCTGCACAGGAGCAATGCTCGGCTCTGTCATCGATGCCCTCCACACCGGCTCCTACTCTGAACCAGGCTGGTGGTTTTCAAATGTTCCTAAGGAGCAAACTCTTTCAAAGTGAAATCTCATGTGGATGCCCAGTGCACAAAAAGGCGAGGCAAAGCAGACGTTCCTCTGGAGAAAGGGGGACAGAGCTTCCCTTGGCCCTTGGCCCCTCCTCAACATCCCATGGACTCAGGGCGCTCAGATCCAGTCTGAACCCAGCACTGTCCAGCCCTGACATCCCATGAGGCAGCATGGAGGAGCCCGAGGCCTTCCCAGAACCCTCACTTCTTCCTGGTGTTCCAGCTCCCTGTGGGGATGCTGCTCCCAGCACCTGTGGTCCTGGCACACTGCTGAGGCCTCTGGACAGGTATGCCCAGCCATCCACAACTCCAGTGGTGATACCCTGGTCTCCAGCCTGGCCTACAGATGCTTTTGACTCCCAGACTCTGTTCCTCTCTCTGGTGAGGGGACCGCTGCCTACTCCAACATGGGCCGAGTAGAGTTCACCTTTGCCAGGACCACAATATCCAGACGCAGTCAAGCAAGAGGGACACGTGCCCCCTGCCAGCTGGTCTGGGCCCCACCTGAAGCATGGCGGGCAAAGCTGGGCTCCTGCTTGCTGACGGGGATGCTGGGCAGTGAGGCCCGGTTGGCTCGCTTCCTCTGGATAACGCCGATGTGGTTTCTGCGTGGACTGCTTAGCCCAGTGGGCACAGACAGGGTGCCCCTGCCCCGGAGGGGAAGAAGGCCTGTGGAGGCAGAGACAGTCTAGCATGGAGCTGGTTCTGTCTGTCCCCCAGCCCTCCTTTGGAAATGGGCCCAGGAGCAGGCTACAGGAGAGCAGGTGTGGCTGCCTGTCCAGGCTCAGGACGGGGAGGGTGGGGAGCTGGGGCCCCCAGTACCTTCCTTCATCAAGGTCCTCCTGACAGCCAGGCTCTGGGACGCGAGCTCCCTCCCCGTCTCCACCTCCTTCTTCTGCCGCATCTTCTCCTGGGCAGACTTGGAGATGGTGACCTGGATCTGCACGAGGTCAAGGTCAACTCCATTACCCTGGGGACACCACTGTGCTTTCCATACCGTCATTCACCCAGTCGTGTGCCCATCCCTGGCTGGGAATAAACAAATGCCGAAGGCCTTGCTCCCAGGAAGTGCCATGGAGTGGGGAGACCAGGACGAAGCACCAGCAGACCGGCCTCTCCTGCCAGGCCGCGCATGCCAGCAGACGTAAGGGACAGAGGTGACAGGGCTCCGTTTCAGGGAGGAGAGCCCAGGGGACTGGCTGAGAGGTGACGTGTGGGCAGAGGCATGAGTGACGCGAGGGGGCAGCCCATGCAGAATCCAGAAGTGTCCTGAGCAGAGGGGCCAGCGAATGCCGAGGCCCTGAGGAGGACACTGGGTGGAGCACCCAAGTCAGAGGAGGATGGGACACGGGCTGGAGGGGGGGGGGGGCGCTGCGGCCCCTGCCGGGACTCAGCTTCTCCTCTGCAGACAGCGAGCCCTGGAGGTCTGAGCAGAGGGGTCCGTGGTCTGATGTCCTTTGCAGGAGGGGGTTCTAAGTGTTGGTTTTTATAACTTATTTTGAAATGATTTAAGACTCACAAGAAGTGGCAAAAATAGAAGCAAGGGTTCCCATGTGGTGGGGTGACGGGCCTGCCCGAGGGGAGCGGGAAGTGGAGGCCGCACTCCTGCTGCTGGGCCCCAAGCGGGTTGCTGGGCCCCACGCGGGGAGGTGGGGAGCCCGAGGTGTCTGCCGGAGCAGCCAACGGCTGCAGTTGCCCTTTGCTGCCCTCGCTGAGGGGGTGCTGGGACAGAGAAGTTGGGGGTAAGGTTCCAACAGCTGAGTTGTGTACAGCTAAGTGTAAAAGATAATTAGGTACCTAAACAGGGATGGTGAGAATAGATGGTAGATAGATAGATAGAGTTATATCTAATATATAACATATATAATAATTATATATATAATAAGTTAGGGTTACATATTTTATGTATAATTTAACTGCTACTTGATGTCAGGGGAAGGTCTGGCTGGAAGGGACATTTGGAACTCAGCACACAGATGGTACTTCATGCCACAGATGGAGGTCATGGGGTCACTATAAATGGGGAAAAGGCCAGAGGTCTGAGCTCTGGGGGCCTCCAGCGTGCAGAGGTCAGGACTGTGAAGAGGGACCAGCAAAGATGGACGAGGGAGGAGCTGCCTTTGATGCAGGCCGGGAACCCAGGACGCAGCCACCCCCTCGCCGCCATCCCTTGGTGGGGGATGAAGTGGGATGAGCCAAAAGAGCTGCTAACGGGTCACGCTGAAAGGACCGTGACGTGCCCCACCTGGGAAGGTGGCAGCCACCAGTGTCCCCACGGGGGCAGTCGCGGTGGGCAGTGGGAACTAGGGCCTGACCCCGTGGTTCTGGCTTTCCAGAGAATGGTTCTGGTTTTGTTGTTTTGTTAATGTGAAAGAAAACAGAGCTAGGATGCTGATAGGAGTGACCCGACTCCAAGGAGACTATTGTTTATGCAGGAGAAGGCACAAAGGTCGCGCAGGAATAGTGATGGACTGAGCTGGAACAATAGGAGACAGTGCTGAGTGGAGGGGAGGCTTGAACCGAGACGCCGGCGGGGGCGACGTTGTTCGCAGTGCCAAGGTCCACCTGTGACCACGGAGTGAGGGGCTCAGGCGAGGTGGGCGGTGGGATGGCTTCCCAGCACTGAGTCACTGCCTGTTTCATGGTCTGCCGCCTCGCTGGAGTGGGAGGACCGCGGGCCGGCACCTGATCGCGGCCGCCCTGGGTCCCGTCCTGACACACGCACACGGCAGGCCTCCGAGGCGTGTTTCCGGCACCGTCATCTCTGTTTCAAAGGAGCACGAGTCCCCACAACAGTGACTCTCCCAGCTTTACGAAATCTATTCCGACCAGAGAAGGGAGTCGTCTGGGCCAAGGTCACCTCAGAAGTGTGAGCTATTTGTCAGCCTGTCGAGCGCAGCCTTTGGCTGATCTGTCTGGGTCAGCTGCCTCTCCGCTGCTATCTTGGGTGTTGGCTCAAATTACTCAGCTTGGTTCACCTAAGTCCCTCTGTACTCTCCACATCCTGCTTCCTTCTGAACATGTGTGACTCCTTCTGCCCTCCCTTCCTCCCTCATCACGCCCTCAGCTCCCACTACACTCTCCCCTTTACCTAGTCCCCCTCGCCCCCTCTCCCCTCTCTCCTTTCTCTCCTTTCCTTCGGCCTTCTCCCCGGCCAGGCACAGGTTCTAGCCTTGGGTGCCAGGGCAGCTGCCTCAAGGCTCTGCCTTGCTTTCCTCCAGCTGGACCCACACTGGCATATTTCAAAACCATGCTTGCATTCCGCTGGTGGTCCACTCTGACCCCGATTTCCTCCTCTCTTGCTTTCCAGATACCTTGGTGCTGCTCTCCTTCTGGTCCTCCTCTTTTAGCAAGGGGCGGGCTTCTTTGGCTTGGCCGAAGAAGAGGGACGTCAGCGTAGGAGCTGATGAAGACGAAGGCAGAGCAGGCTTGTCAGGGGCAGCAGGCCTGTCTTTGACATGTGGGGCCAAAGGTTTTGGCTCTGAGGAATCAAGAACAAGAATGGAGCTGAGGACACCCAGCAGCCTGAAGCAGGGCCCGTCCTTCTGGGAAGCCCCGAGGCTCTATGGCCTTGTGATCGCTGTAATGTTTTACTGCCTAAGCCCTCCGCCCTCCGTTCTGCTGGCCAACACCTCCTGGATGGAGAAAGACCCTAGAGATGCACTGACAGGCATAGTGCAGGCTCTCCAAAGACGAACATCTTCCTCCTTTCATTCATTCATTCATTCATTCATTCATTCATTCATTCTTACCACAGACCTTATTCTAATACAGGGAAGGGCAGGGAGGCAGCTGGGCAAGACACAGCGTCATCAGATCTGTTATCTAAGTGGTTTAAAATATTCCCTGAGAATATAAATCTATCTTACCTGGGAGGTATGTACCTCAGGGAAAAAAATAGATGAGCCCACTGACCTGTTTATACCACCACGCACCTGTCTGAGCCTACGACACAGCATGAAGGGACCAGAGAACTAATGCCAGTCTCATCCTCTCATTTCACAGATGGGAAAGCTGAGGCCCAGCGACCCTCACAGGCTCTGGTGGTTGGTAAAATACACGTTCATTTCCCAAAGACACCAAGTCCGTAGTATTTCTTTCTCATTCTGTATTTTACCAATCAGATCATTCTAAAAGTGCATTTCTTACCATGGAAGCGGGGTGGGGATCTGCTCATTAGTTTTCTTTTAATGAAAGAAATGGTACCCAGTTTCTCCTTCTCACAAAGTTTGGAGCTCACCCCCCTTGGGCGAACCTGCAAATCAAGGGTCTGCAGGGATGAGGGCCACCATCTGGGGCTGCCTGGGGCTGGAAGGGACGTCTGAGTCTGGAGCCCCCAGAGCCCATGCCTTCTGTGAAGGTTTCTTCTGTTTGGTACAAGAAGCACCCAAGACCCTGGAGAAGGATCAATGGCCAAGGAGGAGGAGAGGTTGGCTAGGCTTCCATCTGCCCAGAAGTAAGAGGCAGGGCAGGGGGCATAGGTGTCCTTGTGCCAGCTGACCAGGCAAGGGCTGTAGAACTGCTACAAGGTTAGGGGAAGCCCTCAGCTTCAGACAGTGCCGCATGAGCCCCTCTGTACAGGGCATCACAGGAACTGCGCTGTGTGGCCCCAGCTGGCAGCTGGAGATCAGGAAGCCCCATAAGGACTTTGCTGTTTTGTATGCCTGCTCCTCACCTACACTTCCAAGAGATGCCCCAGAAAGCCTGGTGCCAGCAGCTGCCAGGGGGACCCGATTCGCAGGCAGCATCTGGTCAGGCAGACACGGGAGTGGTTGCAGACTGGGATCTCCTGCCCCCACCCCGACACCGGCATTCTCAGGGTTAGCTCTTAAGGGACCCGGGGGTGCCAGCGCATGTCACACGAGACTGCCTGAGCTCCCCAACCACAGCCGGCCTAGGAAGGGGACCCGCAGTTGCCACCCATGGAGGTTCGTGCCAGGCCTGCCGCTCAGGCCCAGCTGCGCACCCTGACCCCAGGCCCTCTTGGGCTGACCCACCTGCTGAGCTGATTGTGAGAGTGACCTGCCGGGAAGCTGGACCGGGAGCCCACCCCGCTTGCCGGTGGGCACAACAGCTGCCTCCAACACCAGGCGCGTGGCCAGGCTCAGGGTGCTCTGCTGAGGTCCCCTCAGCCACCTGCCCAGGGCTCAGCTCTGGTCACCTCGCCCGCAGCTCCAGCTGGGTCAGCCTGTCTGTGCCTCTGCCTCCTGCCTGGCCCTCCGCCTCCCTTTCTGTCCCGTTGGCCCTATTTCCCCACACTGACCCCTCTGGCTGACTTAGGGGCTGTGGGGTGAGGGTTGACATGTCTCCCCATCTGGTGAGGAATACTCTCCTCCACTCGCTTAGAACAGGGCAGGAGCAGCCGCTCCATGTGTCAAGGGAGCCAGCTTGGAGCCCTGTGGTGCCCTCCCACTCTGAGACCGGTCAGTCTCGGTCAGCCCTTCACAGTCTAACGGGGACAGGCCCTCTGTCTCGGCTGGGTCGCCATGAGGCCACACGCGCCAGTGCCCATCAACATGTGGCACAAGCAGGGGCCATGGGGGCACGGCAGTGGACATCAGCGTCCCCATCCATGAAACAAGGGGCTTGGATCTGACCGCTCTCAGGTCTCCTCTGGCCCTAATTCTGATCCCGTGACCCAGCCCAGGAACCCAAGAACTGACTGACACATGGGGGTGCACATGGAGAGTACATACCCAGAGATTTAGGGGTCTTCTCCTGAGGCCCACTCTCCCGAACCAATCTTAAAAGAATAGGGGAGAAAAAGGCACCGTGAGCAATGGCAAGGGAGAGATGCTGCCTGAGGAGCCTGGGTAGGAAGCTCGAGGACGGGGTGGCAGCCGAGGTGGGGACACTGCACAGGGGCTGGAGGGGGTCCCTGTGAAGAGACTGGCCAGGAGTTCAAAGCTGCAATAACACAGCTCCTTCGGCAAACTCGAGGGCTGGTTGGGTGTCCACACGCAGCGCTGAGCCCCATTTCCTGGCTGCACAGACCCTCGATGCCCCAGGAGCCAGTCTCTCCCCAGAAACTGCTCAGCCTTAAAGGAAGCCTATCCCCTGCTGTGAGCCCCCAGATAAGGGTTAACTCTCCTCTGAGCTCGACTGAGCTCAGAGCAGACCGAGTGCAAGTCCTGAGAACTGCCCCCCACTCGAGAGAGCTTGGCCCTAGATTCCCCCTCCTCTTGTGAGTAATGCCCACTCCCCTGCACCCCAGGGTCTAGAGGTTTGGCCCCCTTTGCTGCTGCAGGGAAGCCCCTGCTGTTTGTCCTACAGCCTCGATCCCAGACTACCCACCGGAGGGCAAGACGGCATGCCTGTGCCGGTTTCCACTATAACTTTTAAATAGGTGGCACCCTTGCCTCATTCCACAGATCCTCGCTAACGACCTGCTGAGCCCTGAGCCCTGTCCTAGACCCCGGGAGGAGCGTCCCTGAATCGGAGCTCACACTCCCACGGGGACTGGGTGTGCGTTATCCACCGTGGCTCCTCTTCTCGCGGGAACCGCACGGACGCCAGACCCCCTGGGGTTTGACAGGGTGACAGCCACCTCCAAAGGCTGGGACACAGCATCCCGTGTGCTGACCTCAGAGGACACGCTCAGCAGAATGCCCCAGGCCGGGGCGGCTGGAGGACAGCAGTCGGGGAGCCCACTCCAGGGCCTGGCCAGACCCAAGGGACCCCTAGCCCAGGAGGTGATGGAGCCAGGGGGACCTTGCAGCTCCCTAAATGCCTCGGTCACCCCTCCTTCACACCTCTCCCTCTTCTCCATCTCGAAAACTCTCCCACAGCCTTTAAACCTCAGCTCGGGCCTCACCTCCTCCAAGACGTCTTCCCAGCCTGATTGGATGGTTTTCCACTGGGCTCTCAAGAATGACGGGCAGGCTTCTATCTTAGCACTTAACTCACTGGACTTTGAGTCAACGGTTTACTTGTAAGTCTCTCTCATGAGTGACTGAAACACAGATACTGGGTGCGTTTTGGCTTTGGTTGGAAGCACCTGGCATATAGTAGGTACTTGCTAGCTTTAAAGTAAGGCCGGATGGATGGATGGATGGATGGATGGATGGATGGATGGATGGATGGATGGAGTGGTAACAAAGGCTCCTCCCACCCATTTGCTGGAGAGTCTCACAGAGCCATTCGAGAGAAATCTGTCACACCTGAACAGCAAAGGGGTAGATACTTATGACATACTTATCTGTGCTGGGCCCCAAGCTTGGCACACTAAAGCCACAGAGATTTGGAGATACGGCCCCACCCTGCACGCTTCCAAGTTAAAGAACGGACTGAGGTTTAAGTAAAGGCTGCACAAATCAACGAAAGGATGTGGTCAGGACACCCGGGGCTACACACCATGTGGACAGCGCAGAGAAGCCACGTCTCTCCTCGTCACCAAGGGGGACAGGAAGACCTCAGAGCGAGGGCAGAAGGGGAGCCGGGCTTGAAGAACAGTGGGAACTGAAGGGGCACAGGTGGGAGGCTCATGCTGGGGCCTCAGGGACGGAGGGAGGGAGGTGCCATCCGGGGCTCAGCAGGTCCACGGGGCCTGGGCTGGTGGGAAGACTCCTGCAGAGCAGTGGAGTGGAGAGCAGGGCACCATCCAGGTCAGACCACAGAAACGCGTCTTCAAGATGCTGGGACCAGGAAGTCAGTGGGGGTGAAGTGCACGGAAGGGGTGCATGGGGAGGGGTGAAGACAGAGATTCGCATGCTGGGCCAAAGGGCTGCAAGAAGACCGGGTAAGAGCTATGGAGGGGGATCAAGAGGGAGCCAATAAATGCAAACTGAGAGGAAATGCAGGGTCAAGGGAGCAGTGGGAGCTTCTTTTCCTTGTTTATTTAATTGTTTTAAAAATACTTTTTATTGATTTTTTAGAGAAAGATAGAAACATTGATGTGAAAGAAACATCGATTGGCTGCCTCCTGCACGCCCCCTACTAGGGATCGAGCCCACAACCGGGCATGTGCCCTGACCGGAAATTGAACCAGGACCGCTCAGTCCATGGGATGGTGCCCAATCCACCGAGCCACGCCGGCTGGGTGATTTTCTTGTTTAGAAAGACCTGACAGGCCGTGGCAATCTGTCAGGAGCAGGAGGCGACAGGAGCAAGTGTCACAGGTGATGCCACAACGGGAAGAGGACAGAGAACGGTGCCCACATGTGGTGGGAACCAGGAGGCCGTGGGAGGGAGGCGGCTGGGGACACGTGAGGGGCTCCGGGGTGTTGCCGTGATTGGGGCACCTCCGCCCTCCCTCCTCTGAGGCTGGATCTGCACCTGAGGACACCGGGGGGCTCAGCAGGAGGGCGGAAGCACGGAGCTTGACCCTGGGGAGACCCCGGGCAGAGTGGGCGACGTGGAAGTCACCCCCACAGATTAGATACCAGGGAAGGACGAGGGGATGGGAGACAGGGCCCCGGAACAGAGTTCAGAAACAGCCACGTTTAAGAGATGGATGAGGGAGGGCACACGGGAGGCTGCCTGCAAGGTCACGAGGCATAAGGTGAGGCAGGAGCAGGGGTCAAGCGTCGAAGCTCCAATAACACAAAGGAGCGGAGAGCAATGTGACAGAAGATAGGCCATGGGTCTGGAGCCAGAGAGTCATTCAGTCATTCCAGCCACCAAGACTGCCTCCCAGGGGGCAGGGAGGGAGGTGTCTGGGCAGGGAGGGAGGTGTCTGGGCAGGAAGGGCAGGTTTCTGGGCAGGGAGGGAGGTGTCTGGGCAGGAAGGGCAGGTTTCTGGGCAGGGAGGGCAGATGTCTGGGCAGGAAGGGCAGGTGTTTGGGCAGGGAGGGAGGTGTCTGGGCAGGGAGGGCAGGTGTCTGGGCAGGGAGGGCAGGTGTCTGGGCAGGGAGGGAGGTGTCTGGGCAGGGAGGGCAGGTGTCTGGGCAGGGAGGGAGGTGTCTGGGCAGGGAGGGAGGTGTCTGGGCAGGGAGGGCAGGTGTCTGGGCAGGGAGGGTAGGTGTCTGGGCAGGGAGGGAGGTGTCTGGGCAGGAAGGGCAGGTGTCTGGGCAGGGAGGGAGGTGTCTGGGCAGGGAGGGCAGATGTCTGGGCAGGGAGGGAGGTGTCTGGGCAGGAAGGGCAGGTGTTTGGGCAGGGAGGGAGGTGTCTGGGCAGGGAGGGAGGTGTCTGGGCAGGGAGGGAGGTGTCTGGGCAGGTAGGGAGGTGTCTGGGCAGGGAGGGAGGTGTCTGGGCAGGGAGGGCAGGTGTCTGGGCAGGTAGGGAGGTGTCTGGGCAGGGAGGGAGGTGTCTGGGCAGGGAGGGAGGTGTCTAGGCAGGGAGGGAGGTGTCTGGGCAGGGAGGGAGGTGTCTGGGCAGGAAGGGCAGGTGTCTGGGCAGGGAGGGAGGTGTCTGGGCAGGGAGGGCAGATGTCTGGGCAGGGAGGGCGGATGTCTGGGCAGGGAGGGTAGGTGTCTGGGCAGGGAGGGAGGTGTCTGGGCAGGAAGGGCAGGTGTCTGGGCAGGGAGGGAGGTATCTGGGCAGGTAGGGAGGTGTCTGGGCAGGAAGGGCAGATGTCTGGGCAGGGAGGGAGGTGTCTGGGCAGGGAGGGCAGGTGTCTGGGCAGAGAGGGCAGGTGTCTGGGCAGGGAGGACAGATGTCTGGGTAGGGAGGGAGGTGTCTGGCCGGAATGGAGTCGAGAGTCTGATGGCGAGGAGGCAGAGGTTGGTGGAACAGACCACTGTTTGAGATTCAAAACTCAAGCTCAGTAGCAGGTCTACAGACAGGTTCTCACACTCCAACAGTGTTGGGAAAGATGGGGACGTGGGGACAGAAAGAGGGAAGGCAGCAGGGGAGCCACGGAGAGTGAGAACTTGAGGGAAATGGAAGAATTCAGTACATCAGGCCCCAGTGATATGGGAGAAAAGTGAGTCACAACAGGAACTCAGCTGTGACCTGTGTGGGTGAGCCAGGCTGTTTCTCTCTCTCTCTCTCTCTCTCACACACACACACACAGTCTGCACTGACCACAGGGATGTGCCTGGCCGTCTGCAGAGCACCGCCTGGCCCGCTTCCACTCCATAAACCCAGATTCATTACAACACAGGGATCCTCGACCCCATGGGCCCAGCCTTTTTTGAATATGAAGACTCTCTCAAAGTGTCATAGACTGCTCCAACGCATAATGAGGCTTGTATTCTTAGCATCCGTGTAGTAAGAGGAATACATGATAACAAAGAGCTGCCTTGAATGCAATAGAGCTTTAAAGGGTTGCATTTTATTCATCACTGCAGCAGCCACACACACCAGGAGACTAGTGGAAGAGAGGCGGAGACAGTGGGCAGTCAAGGATCAGAGCGGATAGCACGCTGCAGCCTCCCCGGTCCCTGCCCTGGCCCAGAGCTCTGCCCTGGCATGGAGGTTCAGCCTTGGGGACCCTAAGAAGATCTTGTGGGGATAGAGGACTGCCTGGTGGTTATGACTTAGGGCTGCTTACCGTGTGGGGGGGGCTCTCCGGCCCACGAGGACGTCCTGGCCTGGAGGCAAGAGGCTGGGAAGAGAGCCAGGTGTGCAGGAGGTCCCAGCGGGCACCCCCACCTTTGGGATGGACGGGACCACAGTGCCCCCCAGTGACTTGTGCATCCTCCAGTCACTGTGGTGCAGGCATCGCCAGGAGAGCCGCACCTGGGAACGGAGTGGAGGACGGTTCTGGCCCACAGAAACATTCCCCCGGGTGCTCCCCTCCCAGGCCCCTCACACAGGGCAGGCCCTTCGATCAGGAGCCCCCGGGCAGGCCATAGTGCCCGGAAGTGTCCTCTGGTTTCCCTGCCACACAACCCTGAGGCCCCGGGACAGCTCATAGTTTGCTCACCACTCCGGGTGACAGGATGGGTAAGAGGTCGCCTCATCCCTGCTCCAACCCCTTTTCTTGTCATTATTATTTGCTTTTCTGTTCTCATTTTAGAAAAATCCTAGAACACCAGAGCTGGAAGGGATCTTCAAAAGCGTCTGCTCCAATCCCCTCTTTTTATGGATGTGCAAACTGAGGCCAGAGAGGGAAGTGACTTGGCCAAGGTCACACAGCCAGAGGAGCAGAGTAGAAGCCAGAGCCCAAACTCCTGGGTCCTCACTCAGCATGCTTGCCCCTCGGCCACACTCCCTGACCCGACACGGAAAGGCTCAGAGCATGAGGGTTCGGGAGCATTTAGACCAGAGAAGGCCTAGGGGCCACCAAGGGAAGGACAGATGGTCACACAGCGTCTGCTTGAGCTGGGGCCCAGGAACCCAGGGGCCGCCACCAGAGCTCCCAGGCCAGCAATAGTGGTTTTGGACACCGTGGGGAGATGAGATGCGGGCTCTAAGCCCCGCCCAATGCTGTCCCCATCCTGAGGGCAGCATCTGAGATTTCCCTGGAGTAGCTCAGGGCTCAGGAATAGGGGTCGGTAAACGATGGAAGGAAAAACGGAAGGACAGAGAGGCGAGACTCAGAGTAGTCAAGTCTCCTTACCTCCTGAACACCGGGTCTCCTCTCCTGGGGCCCCTGGCTGCTCCCAGGCTGGTCCACACTCTTCTCCTTGGCTCCGCTGGCCTCGGGGGTGGTGGGGATGCTCTGGATAGGAGGCATTGGCCGGAGCACCCCCAGCAGCCCCTGAGAGGTGGCCCGGGGGATGGCACTCCCCAGGGGAACTCCTCTGGGGCCTCCCCCCGGATCCAGAGAGGCTGTGGGGTGGGGAATACGTTAGTCCCAGGAGCTCAGAGAGGGGTGTCATTCAGAGGCTGGCCCGGGGTGGGTGGAAGGAGGGTGGGCAGAGCCCAAGGCTCACCTTGGGAAGACGCTGCCAAGCCCCCTGAGAGCCTCCTTTTCTTGAGCTTGTCCTTGATCTGGGTGGTGTCTCGGGCCACACTGCTGGCCTCTGGCTCCGGTATGGGAAGGGGTACCAGGGGGTGGAGCCCCTGAGACAGGGCCTCGGGGCTCCTGGGGTGGCCATTCCGGGCCTGCCAGCCCTTCATGGGAGCATCCAGCCTGAGGCTGCCTGGGTCCCCATGTCCACTCACGAGCTGTGCTGGCTTCTCCAGCAGGACGCTGGGCATTGGCCGGAGGGAAGCTGAGGGAGACAAAGGCCAGGGTGGCTTGGCACACAGAGCCCAGGGTGGCACGAGGCACCAGCAAACCCTTTGGCAGCGCCTCCTGGAACGGTCAGCCAGCTGCTCAGTGAACCGAGCCGTTCAATGCTTCAGCCACTTCTGGGGTCGACTCATTCGTTCAACGGCATCTAGGGAGCACCTGACCTGAATAAGACTGTGTCGTGAGGTGGCCACAGGGCGAGAGGGGACTCGATATGCAGCCCTGTCACAGCACAGACCAGAGGCCAGAAATACTCAGGGAAGGGCTTCTGCCCACGGACCACCGCCCACCAGTCTCCAGCATCCAACCAATGCATCCGCATCACAGGCGCCTGACGTTCACCCAACACAGGGAAAGGACACGTTCAGGTGACTCACAGCGTCTGTCCTGCAGACACCAGCTTATCAGGGGCTCCAGACAAGCCTCGTGAGCGTCCGGTACCTGCCAGCACTGGCCAGGCGGTTGGACACACAGAGACGTGGGAGGCACACTCTTTTTTTTTTTAAATCCTCACCCGAGGATATTTTTTGATATTTTGTTCGATAAAGTGGGAGGGGGAGAGAGAGAGAGACATCGACGTGAAAGGGACACATGGAGTGGCTGCCTCCCGCACAACCCAACCAGGGCCGGGGACAGACTGCAACCGAGGTACATGCCCTCAGCGGGAACCGAACCCGGGTCTCTCTGGACCGCAGGCTGATGCTCTAACCTCTGAGCAAACTGGCCAGGGCCACACTCTTTTCTTAAAATGAAGTTTCCTTTTTTAATATGAAAATAACTTACGCTAGTACCATGAGAACACACAGACAAGCTAGAGCAAAACCTTTGTGAGGTTTTAAAATCTCCTGAATCTTTTCCTTCTCGGCTATTAAAACATTTTAACAATGTTGTTCCAAAACAGAATTGCTACCTAGTCAATCCCCAGAGTTTTTTTCTTTAGGATCCTAGAGCACGTATTATCCCATGTTAAGATTGCACCCAACGTATCCCTTTTGACAATTTGTGTAGGAATAAAGCACAATGTAAAATGCATCTAATTTACATTCCACTGTGGACCATCGTCTGAATCACTACAGGGCTTGCAGTCTGCCGGGGAAACAGGATGCGTTCCTAAGCGGGTTCCGTACGGGGGAGACCTGAGACGTGCCAGGGAGAGCGACGGGATGCGGGGAGCAGGCGGCAGAGGAGGGCCCGGAAACCTTCAGGAGGTGAGTGTTTGAACTGGGCCTTGAGGGAGCCTGGACCATGGTGGGCTTGGGGGGGAGCATAGCAACAGACCAGCTGTCAGCATCCGTCCCCCACACAGCTCGTCTTGGACACCTTGGCGTGACCGCGAGGCCCTGGTGCCCAGGCCACTGCCTGGTGCTGGCACCAACCCAAGGAGAGCTGGGATCGGTGCCAGTCGCAGGCCTGCAGGGGACTGGCCTGAAAGATGACGGTCACCAGGTCGGAGGCCCGTCCGGAGCACGGGCCTGGGGCTCGGCAGAGAACATGGCCGCAGCGGGGCCGGAGCAGAGAGCCCGGAGCAGAGAGCCCGGAGCAGGGCTGTGTGACGTCCTGAAAGCCCCTCTCCGCAGCTCTTGTGAGTCTTGGTTGCCAGCTCAGTAAAACGAGTGTTGCACAGGACCAGGGGTTCATTTGATCACACCATCATTCTATGTCTAGGTTTCTAGATGTTTCTTAAGCCTTCGGCACCTCCCCCTTCCCCACAGCAAACAAACGCCAGGCAGCACCTGGCAGAGGACTGAAGGAAGCAGTGGTGTTTGCAGCGATGTGCCCAAGCCCCGGGCTGCTCTGCCCTCGGCTGCCAGCCTCCCTCCAAGTGGTCGCCGGTCCCTGCTCCCGCCTCTCCAGGGACCAGCGGCTCCCCACCTCACAAGCAGCCATTCCATCGGGGCAGCAGCCATCGCCCCCCACTCTCCAGGGAAAACTGAGGCTACACAGCGAGCTGAGGACAAGGGGACACGCAGCCCAAGTTGAGGCCCAGCCCCTCGTCCTCTGCCGTTCTCTGCCGTCCTCATTCTCCAACCACAGGACGGCAGCCCCTCAGCCAGCCACCAGCCCAGAGAGGAGGCAGAGCTCGGGCCAATCCCCAGAACATCCTGAGCCCCTCCCCAGGTCAGGGAGCCCCCAGACAGCAAGCTGAGCCCCAAGGCCAGTGTTGGCCCCCGGAGAGCAGGGATGGGCTGGGAGGCCAGCACCTGGTCCGTCTCCCAGGGAGAGCCCGTCCCTAGGAGAGTCCAAGGAAGATCCTGACCCATGGCCCCTTGATGCCCTTACCTGGGGGAACAGCATCTCTGTTGCCCATGTTCTGAGTGCAGGAGGTGCCCGGGAGGTTGTCCAGAGGCAGCAGCTACTTTCTGGGCCAGGAGTACAGTCCTCAGGGGTCCAAGGGCCCCAACCTGTACACATCCAGGGACCTCTGGGGGGAGGGGAGAGAAATAATGAGTGCTCCCTAAACTCTTCCCAGAAAGCCCATCGGGAGCCCGATAAAGCTTCTACAGGAAAACTGGCCAGGGCTGAGGCCCGTTCTTCCTGACACTGGGCCTCTCTGGACACTTCAGAGAGCCGAGGCCACACGTCTGTGGGCCGAGTTCGTCCTGGAGAGTCCAGGAAACCCACAGACTGGCTTCGCTCGGGCTCTGACACGGACGCCTTGGGGTCTCAGGGACGCCGGGATTGATCCAGGGAGGCTGACGCTGTTCTCGTCAGGGACCCATTACTTTGCCAGGTGCCTGAAGCTCAGATGAATGTCGAGGTGTGGGACCCCGCTTATCGCTCAGGTGCCTGGCGGCATCTCCCAGGAACCAGCGCCCTGGTTTCTCTCAGGGTGTGCCCGTCTCTCTGCCCCAAGTTCCTGGCCCTCGTTCTCCCCTCGCTGCCAAGCCCAACCTCGGGCCCTGTCCGCCGGCTCATCATCCTGTGCTGGCCGCTTGACCACGCTAAGCCTCCTGCCAGCCTCCCTTAAACCTCTGGGGTCGGTCATCAGCTCCTGTCTTCAACCTAACTCCATACTCTTTCTATGCGACAAGGGTCTCACCACAGACTCTGTGGCTTCACACGATTTTACACGTCTCTGCTAAGATCATGGTGAGCTGCTTTTACCCTGACGGGTGGGGAGCGGGTGGCCAGGAGCTGATCAGTGATGGAATCAGGGTATAGGCCATGCATATGTCTAAAAGGCCACCAATTTCTACTCTAGCGTGGCCCCTGGAGGTGTCACCTGGGGACAGGGCGGGGTGCAGTGCCAGCTCTATTGGGCTGAGCAAGAAATCCAACTCAGGAGCTGCGAGAACCTGCCTTGGGCCTGGAAGCCAGCCCGCCACCAGCCCCACCCGGGCCCCAGGAGGCAGGGCGGCTCCTAGCAACCCTTCTGGCCAAACAGAGGTGCCTGCCCGGCCTCGCCTGGTCTCAGGCTCAGCCTAAAGGTGCTGGGGTTCTCCGTCTGAGGGAGTTTTCCTCACAACCTGTCTGCTTCTACAGGGATGAGGATTTGGCCACCTGGTGGTGACAGCAGCCAGGACCGCCCATGAGACAGCCCTTCTCCCAAGCCAGGTGGTGGGAGGGAGAGCCTACCGGCAGGTTCCCACCGCACCCCTCGCCCCAGGGAGCTGGGAAGAGACAGAGGTGGGTGAGGCGGCTGTTGCAGCAAAGCCGAGCAGGGAGTCCCAGAGAGGACAGACCCCCACAGCTGGGTTAAAACAGCCGAGCTGGCGGCCAGCTCTGGGGGCAGGTCCGCAGCCCAGCACAGACTTTCTCTGCAGATCACACGTGGACCAGCGACATCAACCACAGCGCTATTGTCAGCCTCAGCCTAGCTCAGAGCCACCTGGGAACTCATTAGGACGACACAGTCCAAGGCCGAGCCCGAGGCCCTACTGAGTCAGTCTCCAGGGAGCGGGCCACGGGATCTGGTTTCGGTTTTTTACCTTAACTCTTGAGTGATTTTTTTTTTTTTTAATCCTCATCCGAAGACATTTTTCCATTTTTTGTACAGACAGAGTAGGAGGGAGAGAGAGGAAGAGAGAGAGAGAGAGAAACATCGATGTGAAGGGACACATCGAGTGGCTGCCACCGCACGACCGACCAGGGCCGGGGACAAACTGCAACCGAGGTACGCGCCCTTAGCGGGAACCGAACCCGGGTCTCTCCGGACCGCAGGCCGACGCTCTAACCGCTGAGCCAAACCGGCCAGGGCTTCAGTGATTTTTTTTTAATTTTTATTTATTCATTGATTTTAGAGAGAGAGAAAGGGAGAGTGAGAGAGAGAGAGCATCGTTTGTTGTTCCACTTATTTACGCGTTCATTGGTTGAGTGTTGTCTGTGCCCCAATGGGGGATCGAACCCCAAACATCGGCGTACCAGCACCGAGCTACCTGGCCAGGGCAGATGATTTTGATGCTCAGTAGGATTGAGAACCACAGGGCTATAGAGTTCACATTCACTTTACAATAAGATCCCAGCCCTATTTCTCATCTTCAACTGTCAAAGCAGTTACTTCTGCCTCAGTTTCCCCAAAGTGCTCGCTCTCCAGGAGGCTAAAGGGGAGACTTGGAGCTGCCTGCAAGTGCAGATAGCACGAGGTTCAGTCTCCAGCTCTATGGCTCAGGGCCTTCTGAACAGGGCTGTCCCCCACCCGCCCTCCACCACCTTCTCAGCAGGCAGAATGGCCACCGGCCAAGACAGCTCACACTGCCCCGCCCTGAGGAGCACCAGAGTGCAGGAAGGGCCTGGTCACTCCTCACCTGCCAGGGAAACCCAGCAGGCAGGGACCCTTCGGGCCTGCCCCTGCCTGGGTCTATACTCTGACCTCTCCGGCCTCAGGGTCTAAAGTGCAGGGTCTCCTGGACCCCAGGGAGGTGGCAACTGTTGTATGGACAAACAACCATCGCTTATGTCTTATGTGAGAGCATGGGGGTACCTCCCCAGAAAATCATTCAGGCCCTGGACCTGTGGGAACTTCAAGATCCTTGTCCAAACGAAAAACTAGAATCAGCCCTGGCCGACTTGGCTCAGCAGTTAGAGTGTCAGCCTGTGGACCAGAGTTGCGGGCTCCATTCCAGTCAAGGGCATGTACCTGTTTTGGTTCAGTCTCCGGCCCGAGTTGGGGTCGTGTGGGAGGCAACCAATCTAT